AAGTAATACTTTAACAAACTGCAGCATAAGGCAATAATCTAAAGGTGTACTGTAAGTTACAAATACAAGAAAAGAACAATGCAAGCTTCAGTAACATTAAATAATGTATAGAAAATAACGTTAATGATGGTTGTGTTGATGATGATGACCTTGGTGATATTGATGCATGCATGCGGCACAACAAATTGCTGAATAAAAAAAAAGGTAATTTTGAACTGATCCAAGTAGTACAGTGCAGGTAATAGCAGTTTATAGGTTGTAGGGCACACAGTGTAGGTGAGATGCCATACAGTATATGTCAAAGCCTGCAATTCCAAATCACATTTTCAGCAGCACCGAACACTTTAGTAATTCAAAATTGTGAATCTGAATGGTCTGTTCAGATCCTTAGGGCTCCTAAACAATCCTTCTCAATGCTGAAGAAGACAAGACATCAGAAAGAGCACTACACTGCACGTCATAGTTCCTCACCCCTTCCTCAGCCTTTTTTTCCTGTTTTAACAGCTGTGATTTACAATGACGGCTCCAACCACAAGCTGTTAAAAACATTTTGCTTAACTCTCAAAACCAGTCGCAGGTTTGTTTTCAGTCTCACTGCTAAACATTTCTATTTCATATTTTATTTATAGTGCTACAGCTATCACAGGCGTTTCCTATTAGTATGAGGGCACAAACCCTGAAACACTCACTTTCAAAGACATGCTCCCTCTCTATCAGGACTGTGCCAACATCTGTAAATAATGTTTGGTCAGACCAGGGTCACATGACAATAAGAAATAAAAATACAGACATTCAATATGAGTCCCATATTGTATTTGTTTTTCCAATGTATTACAACAGAATAATTGACTATTATTTTTCAGTTTATATCCCTTAAATTCTCATCTTGTTTTTGGCAGGGAAGAAGATGCTTCAACTGTGCAACTATTCCAATCAGCATCATGCAACAGAGATAAATGTTTCCAAATTAAGTTCATTTCGGGGGTCTTCCTGCTTTTTCTTAGCAGCATTATTTAATAAATGGCTGCATATTACTTGACACTTTCATGAATATATAGTCAGGAGAGCCACTAAATTAGGTTATAATGATCTCTCATTGAGAGATAGTTTCTTAGTCTTATCACAAAATGACTTTTAGATTCTGTGTAGGATTCCTCCTGTAACAAAATGATGATTTATCAAATATAAAATCGGTGACTATTTTCAAGGCTTGGCTTGAGCGGCTATGGTAATAATATTTGTTAACTCCATTCTGTGAAATTCACAATAGCCCCAGTACTTGACCACAGTACTGGGAGCTTTGCTGTGTATCACAGATGGTGTCAGCTGCAATCTGTCAATGCTGTCTGTATTTACAGTACTGCCATCAGTAGTGGTCCAGCATTTCTTCACCAGCTCAGACCTGTGATGGATTGTTTATGTTATACCTGCCAGGTGTTTTCCTTTAATGCATACGAAAAACACTGTAAAAAGAGCAGTTTTAGAAATCCGCATCAGATGTCAACCTCAAACTTTTAACTTTTTTGAACTTCTGAATCAATTTAATAAATTATCTGTATATACATCTTATATGTAATATAAGACATTATATTTATCTTTAAGAGTACCATTTTCAATTATGCTGTTGTGGTAAATCAAACATAACAGTAATGGAGTAGAGCATATACAGTAAAGCGTGCAAAAAGGTCATAACAGCACTAGTCATTACATTACCCATGAGCAGGCAGACATATAACATGTAACACTATGGGCACACTGACTATTCTATATTGTCTATTCTGTTCAGATGGACAATTTGTCCACAGTTGGCCCAGTTGGGAAATAGGTTATTACAATTTTTGTACAACACATTTACTTTAAATTCATATGAAAACATTAAACTACAAAGATTGAAAATGAGAAGAGGACATTTAGCGCACTTTTGCAGTACAGATGCAAGTAACTTAGTGACATAAGAGCCTCTTAATGCTTTTAGCTGGTGGATTGTGGAGAATCCACCACATGGGCTGGCACAGTGTTCATGCTCTACCAGTGTTAGAGAAATACAAGCCTCCCACTCTTTTTCTTCAAACTCTTGGCATTTAGGTGTGTCCTTGGGTCCAGGTTGCTCTTTTAAGATTAAGACACATTTATACTTCATTCTGGTTTTCGATTCATCTTCATCCTGGACTTGAAATTATATATTTTTTTACCATTTCTGGTTTTGATACAATGTAGCTTTAAATTCAGGGATTGAGCTCCAATTTTTAGATCCATTCTTGATGCATTTGGTTTTCCCTTGCTCTTACAAGGTATTTTATTTGTTGAAAATTGAGATATATTGATTGCAAATAGGAGCTGTTCATCTTGATCCAAACCGCTTCTGAGAATAACAGGCCATACTGATATGTCAACATACTGAGATTCAGGTTTATAGATCTTTTATTATCAGGACTGTGACAATAAGAAATTAATTGTGCTGGAACAACACTGACATCTAGTGGCATTTTGGATGTTGTTCTCAGGACTTAACAGTGAGAGATCTCGGAGATCATGCCGGAAATCAAATCACAATATTTATTTAGAGTACAAATCATTGTAGTTTTCTACAATTCAGTTACCCTTTTTTTAAATGTCGTTACACAGAATTTTTGTTACTTCCTTATTGTAATAATGACTTTTTATCATGTTGTTAAATGCTCTTAATGAGTATTTAAAAATGTGGTTCCATTATGGTCACATTTCAAGTTATTTTCTCTGCTCACCATAGGGGGACGCTGTTGTACCCACAGGAGAGATGCTGTTTGGTACGTGAAACTACAAAACGCCGTAATTACAAACATATATTTATTTTCATATTGTTTTTTCTTATTCTTATTCTTATTCAGCATCTTAAAAAATGATGTTTCCATAAGAAAAACAACTATTCAGTTTCGGGGAGACGGTAGTGACTGGAGAGAATAATTTCAAGTATAGTCCTTCTCGGCTTACTCAGTCCGTCTTACATTGAAAGCAAGGCCGAGGTTTGATATTTCCTTTTCTTATTTTCACTCGTTGTTACCCAGAGACATCTGTGCAGTTTCTTGCTCATTATCTTTAATATAAGCTCGCTATGGGCCAAATTACAAGTTACCGGATGAAAAGCTTTCACTGAAAGAAACATGCCTTCTTAACAATCCATCTATTTATACTCATTATTCCTTTTTAAGCTAAATCACTGAGGAAATGCAGCAATTTTAACATATACAGTATTGAATTTTTGTCTATTATAACCAAAAGAGCTTTACAAGTTCTAAAAGCTTCTGAGACTTCATACTGGCACTGTTTCAATAAGCTATCCTTCCCTTGAAGGAGGGTCTTATCAGGGCTCAAAGCGTGGTAGGTAATGCTGTAAGCAAACGGGAATGCTATGAGACTGGGAATTATTAAAAGCAAAACCTTTAAAATGATTTTTAGTTTGTGATCTTGGCATTTAAAAAAATGTTTTTCATTTCCTTTATTTTTTCATCAATAAAATTTCCCCTTGACAGAACATTCTGTAAATTTTATAGTGCTGGTGATTTTGTTCTTCAGGTCCACTAGTTGTGACATTGACATGCTTGAATGTGAGAATTTATCACATTGCTTAAAAAAAATCAAATTATAGCTTCTGTTCTTTTTGAGTTGATTCCTCATGGTTTATATAGAATGCTCTTTCTTCACAGGTTTACTCATGTAGACTATTTGATTTGCTGGTGTACAAAAGATAAGTTTACTGTGCCTTTCTGTAAAGGATGGGCTGAAAGCCAGAGAGAAGAAACCTGTCCTGGTGTGTGAGTTGGCTGACCAGGCACATTTCCTTGTTCACATCATTTTCTTACCTCCTTGTGTGACACCTGAGCAGCATCAAAGTCTCATGTTGCTGAGGCACGTTCTTTAATATTTAATCAATGCAGTCCCTTTCTCCCTTTTATGTTTTTGTCAACTACTAAAATTAATTAATTATGGCACCTAATACATAAAACAGAATAATCAAGGGGATAACTGGAGAAGCTGCAAACAGCCATAAGCTCCACGAGTGACATGTGCCACAAATAAGACAAACACAATTCCTTGTCAATAAAGCAGTTGACACGTGGGACAGGTCTGGCTGAATCATGTTTCCAGCAGACACCTCTCAGTACAGTGTCTCCGTCTTTCCCTGTGCTCATGTTTTTATTTTTCAACACTCCCAGCGATGACTCAGTGCCTTCTTCTCTGGGTTCTGACTCAGTTTAAGCTCCATAGATAAATTCATTGAACCTTCAGCTTTATGAGTTGCATGTCTTCCACTGCTTTCTGTACTCTGTATGAGAAATAATCTCTTTCATGTGTAATGCTGCAAAGAAGTTTCAGATCAGTTTCAACTTGGTTAAAAAGTTGTTCTAACAGTAACCATCCCCCAATTCATCAATGATGTACAGTAACAATTGGGAATTGTCAAACTCTCTGTGCTTAAGACGCACTCTAATGATGTGCAGAATCAGCGATTAAATTCTACCTTCTCATTAAAATAACCCTAAATGTGAGGAGCTCTGAAACCCAGCATCAGCACAGCATTTATGCTCATTTCTAACCCTGTCCTGCCATCTAAGTGTTGAAACTATTGGGGGGGAAAATAGGTCAATTATAGTTCAACAAGATTAATCAAGAAGTAGCTCATATTGAATGAAAACCAGATGCCCATGGTGAAGGTCTGCTGCAGGCCAAGGAATGGGACACACTGCAGCTATAAAAACACACTATTAGGAAGCTGACACGACTGTCTAGGCAGTCCTTCAGCCTGATGCACCTGATGCAGACAGAGGCCAGCTGTATAAAACGCCTTCATTTTAATTTCTTCTAGGTGTTGTTTGAATTTAAGGCTGTTACACGGGGAAGCTAAGGGCACTGATGTAAAAGAAAAAAATAATATTGGCTGTACTGTAACTTTACAGCTCAGAGGCTGCTGGCCGGTGACGTCACACTCCCTTCCGGGTTGAAACCTCTCCTCATCACATGATCATGGGTGCGGGTCATATGATTTCGGTGTTCGGGGTTTGCTGGCCAGGGAGCTGGGTAGTTTGTCGTTAGTGTTGCTGCAGGATGATCGTTAAGCTCCTATCGATTTTGACTGCATGGGCTTGTTCGTGCCGGTGCCGGTGCGGGGCCGAGAGCTATATTGTGGATGATCAGATCGGTCTGGGGCGGACGTTTGATGGCATTGGCGGTCTGAGTGGCGGAGGGGTGAGGAGTGTGTTATACCGCTCGGCTTGTGATCAGAACTATAAAAACTAAAGGCCTGAGTGCAGCAATTTTCCTTTGGTCATTCAGGCACTCGTTTCGCTTTCTAGCATACGAATATGTAGTTAAGTGTGTGTGTGTGGAGGCAGTGGTTTGTTTCAATCACTTCGTGTTGATGTTTCACGACCCTCCGCAAAGCTTGCGAAATTCTTGATATTAAATGGATATACAATACATTACAGAGAATAGCAAAAGGGTTTTTGTCTTCACATTTTAGGCATATATTATTTTTAAAAAAGAGCAAAATGCCTCTAGCACACCTCGTCAAACCTGTTTCCTTGTTTCTTCTTTTCTCGGAAGGTGACGTTTTAAATCATTATTACTTTAGTTTGTCGTGAATCCCTTTTTTTATCTCGTTTTCTGTTTGTTTTTAGGCAACATCGCGTCTTCTCGTCAACTATCCCGAGCCTTATCGTGGCCAGATATTGGACTACTTATTTAAGGTATTTGCTTGCCTACAAATACCATAATAATATTATAAATAATAGTATATGTCATTTTTCTAATGCTAAATACAGTACACAAAATAAACAGAGAAGTGGGTAAAAACCTGTGCATTTTTTCTTTGTCTTGTATGTAGTGTTATTGAAGATCCTCAACATCGATTACGGGGAATCGATGTGCTAGTATTCAAATTGATTCAAGTGTTAAGTGATAGCTTAAGAGTTCAAGGCTGATCATTATGGTCTCCAATTTACAAGTTCTCTTTTCGACACTTGTCAGCTAGGAAAGTGTCCAAGAGGGAAGCATAATTTCCATCTGACATACACAACTGTTACTATGTGGTTTTCATAAGAGGTGACCTGTGGTGTGGTTGATGTTATTTGAAAAGAGTTGCTGTTTGTTTAAACTGAATCGGTTAGGACCAAGGTTTCAAATGTTTTTGGCTTATAACTCTTTTTGACAATGTCACACACTTCACAATTCCTGTATTTGCGGTGGGAGCCAAAACATCTGAAATCGCCTACCACACAATTTCCTTATCATCTTTCTGTGGTTACTTAGTTCTGTAGTTCAGGCTTCTTGGAATTTCTAGAATTTAACTGCTTCTGTGTAGTGAGCATTTCGGAAAGGCATGTTTGTCTGGTGTTCAGAGCTTGGCTCCTCACCCTAGTAAAGTGCTCAAATGCTGACAGAGATGTGTGAAAAGATTGTGTTTTTCTGATTTCTGAATTTTATAACCATGTAAAATTACAGATACTTTGTTATATTCAGGAACAGGGTCTGCTGCAATCTGAATACTTTTCTCTTTGTAGCTCGTTTTGCCAGTAGGCTGGTTGGTTATATAGGAGGGATTTCATAATCATAAGTAATTTTCATAATCACATTTGCACATTTTTATCATTAAACATTGACAGAGCATGACGTGAAGTTTTTTTTCATTTTGTCTTGCATAGTCGAGTATTCATACTTTCCTGAAGTCTAATAAAACACCCTTTTTTCTAGCCAAACTTCGGAGCCTCCTTACACATTTTGAAAGTTGAAATTGGAGGTGATGCACAAACTACAGGTACTATTTTGTACATTAATATGAGTTGTTAGGAAAAAGTATACAAATTGAGCCAATTAGACATTATTGCAACTTTGATTAGTTTCTTTCACTTCTATGCACCTGTTTGAAAATGTGTAAGGAAATTGATAGTTCTCGAAGTGCGCCATGTTTAAGGAATGCCCCCCTGTGGGCCTGTGTGTTTGCGTTTCTAAATCTCATCCAGCCGTTTCTTGAAAGAAGCCAGAGATCCGGCTTTAACAACATGGTTGGGCAGCTTGTGCCAATCCTCTGTGTAAACAAAGTGTTCTCCATTTTAACTGCATTCTCCTCTCATTGGCGTTTCACATTGGGTTCTGCAGATATACATGGGGATGGTTTTGTCAGTACTTTGCCTGCATGAATCCGGTCCCATTATAGAGTGCATTGAGTTTGCAATGCTGCTGCGGCATGCCAGTTTTTATTCTAAACAGCATATTTCTAGGCACAAATATCTATAACCATCTATAAATGAAAGTAAATCTGTTAGCTGTGCTTGAAGCTGGACTGTGACCTACTGGATGCACGCGTGTGTGTTTGTGGCAGATGGCACGGAGCCCTCTCACATGCACTACGAGGATGATGAGAACTACTTCCGGGGATACGAGTGGTGGCTAATGAGGGAGGCGAAAAAAAGGAACCCAAATATAACACTTATCGGTGAGAAATATACTGTTTGCACTTTACGTGGGCATTGGACATCTCTTTTAACCCCTGTATAAAATCAGCAATAATGTATCTCATCCAGGATTTAGTTTTGTTTATAGTGCATGATATTAATCTGTTTGCTGAGGCAGGTAAGGCTCTAAAGTTCCCTTTTCATGTAATTCCTGTAGGTCCAGGTGATGTTTTGTCTGTGGAGCTGATAGAAACTGGTATATGTTCAGTGAAGTGTACTGGGAGGTTTGTGAGGGGTAAAGTGAAGGGAGCTGATCGCAGGGCAGGGCTCGCTTGTGTGCTGGGCTGCAGGAGGCAGTGATGCTGCTTCTCTCTGAAGGGCTGCCTTGGGCTTTCCCTGGATGGGTGGGCAGAGGAAAGAACTGGCCCTATGACTTCCCTGATGTCACTGCTTATTACGTCGTGTCCTGGATTATTGGAGCCAAACAGTACCATGACCTGGACATCGATTATATCGGGGTGTGTACACTTTTGTTTTGCATATTATCTACTATATTTAATTTTAGTCTGTACATTAGCATATACAATGCAGTATTGTAGGGATTTTCTTGATGTGACATATGAGTCATTTCAGTCTTCCCAGCCTGGTGGCTTGCGGAAGTGAATCCGTTCCAAAATCCTGTCTATTCCCTAAGGCATGAGTAATACATTGTCAAAAGTAGGGGAAAATGTTGTATCTCTTCCTCAAAGGGAAAAAATGAAAAGTTTTCAAAGTTTGCTTTAAAGAAAAGTCATAATCGCTTTTTGTTTCATACAGATATGGAATGAAAAGAGCTTTGACAACAAGTATATTAAGGTATGTAAAAAGAATGGTCAATGTTTAATTATTATTTTAACTTTTTGTTATGGTTTTAAATTGCAAACCCCTTTGGACTATTACAAAAAGTAAATCAGCCACCAACATTTGATTCCATTGTAAGATAATATAAATGCTTTGGAAAGTGCAGTTAATTTGTGAGACAAGTTTCTGTTTTATCAGCACTGCATTGAATGACCCACATGCAGTTGTTTAAGTACACTTGCCATGTTACAAGAAGGCTGAGTGCTCCAATGTAGTAGACATGGAATCTTGTTTTTTATCTTGGCGTGTTTGCTTGAACCTGGTGAGGAAATGGAGTTTCGTGTTCCAATAACGAAAACATTAGAGTTGTCTTGACTCACTGAGTTGTGACTCTGAAATGTTACCTTTCCAGTGTTTTAAGTGTACAGTAATAATCGGTAGTTTGTCTGAAGTTCCTGTTTTGTGTCTGTATATTTAATTGCTGTGTTTATTACAGACCACAGCAGCAAATGAGAACTTGATACAATGTTTTAGACTTAAGACCTTGCCACTCCCCCTGGCTCTGTGAAAGTGCTAGCAGCATAAATGTGGTCCATATGTGTCTTTCAACAAAAACAATGATTCCATCAAAATTTGATGTTTGCTTTTCACATGTCCTGAAATCGACAGGCTTATGAGCATTTCTAGTGTTAGAATTGTATTAAAACACTCAGTTGCTTTACTGTGACTTTTCTAGGATGCTCTGTGTCCTTTTTATGAGCTGTAATTTGCTTGTATGGTGTCTATTGCTAAGGTTCTTCGTGACTCTCTGGATAGAGTTGGCTTAACCAATGTGGGCATCATCGCAGCAGATGGAGACTGGGAGATTTCCAGTAAAATGGTAGTAGACCCATACCTCAATGATGCCGTTGAGATTATAGGGTAAGTAAAGGGAATGTAGGGTTCTTTAAGAAAACATCTGAAAGATCTTGCTTCTGTGCTTAGCTTCTTTGCACTGTTTCCCGTTTGTAGTTGTCTCTCTGTGATGACTGATTAGTACTTCCTGGTGTAGACCATCATAGGGAGTGCATGGTGGAGTCATCATACCTAGTAATCAACACACACAGAAGACAGCTGCTTTTGGTTTTTAGTAAAACATTTGACATTACTAAAAAGGAGTTTTTAAGTTGAAGTATCATGAAAAAATTTAGAATGCCTTCAGCAATTGGAAATCCCAAGTTGTGAAGTGATTTTTGGAAAGTGAGGAAGAGGACTTTTTTCTTGGGTTGTCGAGTTGCTATTTTGTGTCATTCAGGCTGATCTTTCTGAAAATCTGGTAAACTGAGGACTTTTAAGTGTGTCTCATCAGTTTACCTGTATCTGAATGTTGGTGGCTGATTTATACTCCCCTGTTTTATTGTTTATTCAAGTTGCTGAAGATCTGCAGTACTGCCCCGAAAGGGCTTTTGACTTACAGTCCTTAAGCACAGGACACAGTGTTCTGTTCACATACTTTCTACCAAATACTTTTTTGTGTTTATTTCTGTGAAGAAATGTGAAGTAGCTGTTTTACCTGTGTAACTGGTTAGCGTTATGGCATGTGGAAAGCTGAGATAGTGGTCAGTTCAGTTGAATTCAATTGACTCTTTTGATCCTGAGTCATTTTCTTGCATTTTTCTCTTTCCCTCCCTCTCCCGGTACAAGCTCCTGCGCTATACGTTGGATAAGAGTGGTTTGGAACGGGTTAAAATAATTGCCAGTGATAACCTGTGGGAACCCATCTCACTTTACATGCTTCTTGATGCAGAGCTCCTGAATGTGGTTGATGTCATAGGGTATGATCTCTAGATTGTTTTCCCATGATTTCCTGCTCTTCTGGAAGACGTGTTGTTTAAAACTTTTGTATTTATAAATTGTTTTAGTCTGTCAGTAAAGTACGGGACAGGACAGTCGTGCAGAATACTCACAAAAGACTTATAAACATTTCACAAGTCCTGTTCTAGGGTTGCATTAGTACTGAAACATGTCAAGGTGTGTATTGGAGAATTCTAAGTGCAAACATTCGTAACAGTGCATAAATACAAATGTAAAATCCTTCATCCCTTCAGTTGCAACAGAAGCTTTCCGTTTTCTTTCTAGGGCCCATTATCCAGGAACTACAACAGTGATGGAAGCACTTTTAACACAGAAGAAGCTGTGGTCCTCTGAAGATTACAGCACTTTTAATGATGATGTTGGAGGAGGGTGTTGGGCTCGAATCTTAAATCAGAACTATGTTAATGGACGAATGACCGCGTAAGTTTTTGTTTACAACTACAGACTGTTGAAGTTTACCTGATTTTAATTCCCACTAAGACCTTATTTTCTTAATGGCAGTAATTGTTAACTTATTTACTCCGGGTGAATATGGTTAGGCACTTTAAAAAGAGTTTGGGTGGGTCTTTTTCCAACTTTAAAAAGAGGATACATTAACTTTGCACTCTATATGTAACTGAAGTTTTGTATGTTTTAAGTTGTGATCTATTGTGTGTGCTATGGATACATGTGTCCTGTAAAGAAATCTTTGATTTTTTTTTTTTAGTACTATATCCTGGAACCTGGTTGCTAGTTATTATGAGGACCTGCCTTTTGGCCGTGATGGGCTGATGACAGCTCAGGAGCCGTGGAGTGGCCACTACCTGGTGGAATCTCCCATATGGATAACAGGTAAATAAAACAGTTTCCATTTGTCTTTTAGCTGATAAGCCAGGCTTGAAGACCTTTTTTTTTTTTCTCCAGGGGCTCAAAAATTTAATTATAAAAAAGTAAATTTTGTTTTAACGGTAGTAGCTAAGGCTCTGGACCTGTAACTGGAAGGTTAAGGGTTCATAGCCTTAATGGCGCCCTGCAAAACACTTCCCTTGGAATGCTCCAGTAAGATGGCCGCCTGCATAAACACAAATTTGTACCCGTGTCTTACACAAAAAATATTGTGAGACATTTATGTGGTTATTTTGTTGCTGTACAGTAGCCGAATCACCACAGATTGGAGGATGTGTTCCAAACTTTGGGGGGGCTTTGCTAAAGGCTTCTTGTGTTTCAGCCCACACCACACAGTTTGCCCAGCCAGGATGGACGTATCTCCAGACCATTGGGCACCTGGCCAGCGGCGGCAGCTATGTGGCACTAACAGATGGGTTAGGAAATCTTACAATGGTCATTGAAACCATGGTACGTTAGATCTCTCTGTATCTTGCGTTTCCTAGAGGCTTTTTTTCTTAGGGAAACATAATTTAAAGGCTGATTTTTTAGCAATGTTATTGTTAATACTTTTTCAGTTTTCTTAGTTTTTTATATCAGTTTGTCTCTATCAACATCCAACCTCCAAAGCTGTATTATTGAAATGAACCTAATTTACAAGGCTGTTCTTTTATTTTGCAGACACATGATCACTCAGTTTGTATCAGACCTCCTCTCCCCGTCTTCAATGTTTCTGCCCAAACTGCAATCTTCAACCTGAAGGGAACTTTTGTAAGTATCGGAAGACTTTTTTTGTTTTACATATGCCAATGCGCAAATCTGCTTGCAAGCTAAAAACTGCATATTGGTTTTATTTTAGGCTGGACTAACAATGCTTCACGTATGGTACTCCAGGTTTGATTTCAAAACGAATAAATCTACTTTCTTCAAACAGCTCGACCCACTTAAGGTAAAGACTTATTAAAAGCACTTGCTTGTTCTGTCATTTTCTCAGAAGAACTTGAGGATCACGCTTGGCTTTTCACAAGCGTGGCCTGTATTGGTCATGGAAATGAAACAAGCAGTCAGATGTTCGGAAGCTCCTGCCCTGTTGTCATCAGGCCACAATGCAAGGAAACATGAGTTGCCGCATTCATTTGACTTTCTGTGATCTCTCCAGCCTGCGTTTGGAGATTTTTCTCTTTTACTCTGCTGCATGATTTGTTGGTGCTTTTTATGATCTTAATAGTAACGGCAGTCATAAATTGCAGGATTGTTTTTTTAGGTTTCCAATGGGTCCTTTGCTTTGAAGCTGGATGTGGACGAGGTTTACACTTTAACTACACTAAACACGGGCAAGAAGGGCAGCTACCCTGAGCCACCTGGCTCGTCTCCTTTCCCAAAACACTACAAGGATGGTTTCAAAGTCCGTGAGTATTAAGGGAGAGAACAAGTTGGGAGAAACTTTTTCCTTTAAAACGTACTTCAAAAGTATTTGCAGTGAAACTCTACCACATACTTAAATCTTTAAAAAAAGGTTTTCCTGCATAACCAGCCTGTGCCAGCTGACGGGAGCATTACTTGCCTGGCTTTTTGCTCTTTGCTCTTTGCTCCTGCTCCAGTTGGTGCTCTGCCTCACATGACTACTTTTATGTATTAACTGTGTTAACTGCATGATGTTTTGCTTTGGTAAACACATAGGATAAGTCCTTTACCTCATCAAAATCCCTTGTTTAACAGTAGGGGCATAAAATGTTTGCTGCTGAAATGGGCAGTTCCATTTTTTGCATAGCATGAAGAAAAATGTTTAAAAAGACAATGGTTTTAAATGCAGATGAAAAGGGCTGAGATGAATTAAAAACATTTTTTTTAATTAAAAAGGCAATTTGACAGGCTCGGTACTTTGGCTGGTTAATACAAACACAAAGGGTTTAGTGCACAGTGGTTTACTAAAATTGTAATGTGCTTTGATGAGAAATTTCTGAAACATCTGTTGGAACTGGTTCTTAAGCGCTAATACACCTACATATGAACTTTACGAAGAACTGTAAGTAGAACAGAAAGTGGTACAGGAAGCTTTTATCTGCAAAAGTGAAGCACGTCTTCCTCTTTCTGACTAAAGTCATTAATGTGGTTGCATTTTTTAAAATCTGTCAATTTACAGTTCACTTTACAGGACTTTTGATTTAGGTCTGTAATTAAAGAATGCACAACATATCAGAGTGTGACTGTCTCAGTCTGTTATTTTTAATTGTCACTTTTCATTTTTGTCATTCTGGGTCTAATCTCCGTCTAATTTCTTGGTCTAGGATTTCTTAAAAGGGACTTATTGAATTATTGCACAGTAGTTTACCTGTTTTAAAACAGAGTGAAATGATTAGCCTTTGTATTGCACATTGATTTAGACAATCCTTATTGCATGAGACATATGTAGGACTTTTAATTTTGTAACTGGTTTGTCCCCATCTGCTGTCCTTGCGGCTGAAATGCTTCATGAAGTTGAAGTCTGCCTGCCTGTCCATGTAGGTAACCCCTCCTTCACTGAGGCTCCAAACTTTGCTGACCAGACGGGGGTGTTTGAATATTTCATCAACATGAGTGATCCCGGAGACCATGTGTTTACCCTGCGACAGGTGGTCACTCAGCGCCCCATCACCTGGGCAGCAGATGCTGACCAGACCATCAGTGTAATTGGAGATCACACATGGCAAGTACTGTGCTATTAAACCTGAAACATCTCTAGAAATTAGTGCATATGGATTGTATTTTCGTCTCTTTTTTCTTTTGGGAGGGTGTTGGGGGAGTTTTTCTTTATTTAAAAACTCATGCCTCCCTCCCCCCAGTTTCTTAAAGCCATGTTTTTTTATCAAAAAGGGCACCAAAGGTGCATTTGTGTTTACATGCAGTGTGTTTTAGTCGTATGGTAACTTGGTTTGTCTCCTGTCTTCTAGGCAGAACATGTCTGTGACTTGTGACATCTACATTGAAAAGCCTAACACAGGAGGCGTGTTCATTGCTGGCAGGGTGGATAAAGGAGGACAATCTGTTAGAAATGCAGAAGGCATTTTCTTCTGGGCCTTCGCAAATGGCACTTACAGAGTCACTAATGATCTCCGTAAGTTGTTATGTCATTTCAAATCGACCCTTTCTGAAAATCCAGGAGAGAAAAAAAGAATGTCCTGCAGAAGCTCTGTTATCACTGGCAGTCTCATGGCCGAATTAATAAGCAGATATCACTGTTGCAAAAGACAATGCTTTGAAGGATTTGTTATTGAAATATTAAGCAATTTCTTGTTCTAAGTAACAAATTCCCATCAGGAGATGTTGCATTTAAAATTCCCAAGTGATTAAAAAATGGCTAATTTCTCAGGTGCTTGTGAAGACGAGTAACTGACCCAAAGCGTTTCTGTCTCCCCCAGGTGGACAGGTGGTACTTGCGTCGGGGATGTCTGGAACAAGAGCAGGGGTTTGGCACACCCTAACGCTTAATATCGAGGTTCGTTCTGCGAAGCCTTCGTGCTTCATGTTTGGATAAGCAAACCACAGCCTGTAATTGTTTCTCCGTACGGTCGGGCAGTAGAATTCCTGGAACTGAAAGAGGGAGAGGAAGCCGCAGACGGGTGAGATGGATGCTCACGCTTGTGCCCCCCGTGTTCACTTGTGTTTCTGTGCGCAGGGGGAGCGCGCCTGGGGAATGCTGAACGGATACCCGCTGTGGAAGAACGTGACCATCCTGGGTCCCGAGAAGGGCTGGGCGGCTATAGGCACGCTCGGGTTCGAGTTTGCGCAGTTTGACAACTTCAGCGTAGATGCCAGCTGATTACATCTACCTCTCCTTTTAATGAGGCCGATAACGTGCATAATGAAGCTCATTGTAATTAGATCTGCTTATGAAAAAGACAGTTTCTAATGAAATGGTTGGGTTTGTTTGCATTGAACTTTGAATCATGAACTTTGAATCATGAACTTTGAAATGTGTTTCTCTTTGATCATTTTTTTCTTCAGAACAATTTATATAAAAGTACTACTGGTTTAAATGTTTTTTCTGAAACTTTTTCTGTAGGAAATTTGCACTTAACAGCTTTCTTGCTCTGTCTGCCTTAAAAGCACATTTTATTTTTAGAACAAAACAAAGCTAAGTTCCTTTTTCTTAAAGGGAATGTACACCTTTTAGAATAGTTTCAAATATACTTTAATATGTCCTCATCTTGTAGTTTATGTGGCAAACGGTTTTATCTGATGTATATTGTCCAAGACCTTGACTGTTAAGACAGCACTCTCGGAATTCCAGAATAATTTTGACATAGAAAAACATACGGGAATGTCAAAGGAACATACATTAGAAACCTATACAACACAGTTTAGTTTTGTTTGCATTCGTTTTAAAGACAATTCCTTTAATGACTTGAACAGGTTCAGGAAACCATCGTAAGTAAAAAAAAAATATGAGGATTGAATGAACTATTTCCTAAGAACAACACTGCTCGTAATGTTGAAATTGCACACGTACTGGAGTTGGGGAATGCATTGAATGTTATACATGAGGCTTCAGTTTGAACTGACCCAGCTGCCACACATTACAAACCAGCTCTGCTGGGGCTGCTTCTCTCCAGGCAAATGGGATGGAAGTCTTTGTTAAATTATTCAGCCTTCAGGTGTTGGGTTCCACGTGTGGGATTGGAGCACAGGCGAAATCTTGATTTTATGAAGTTATAGCAGAGAGAGATGTACAGTACTGTGTGTAGTTTTCTAGCAATCCATTGACTCAAACTCTAATGTCTAATATCTGGTACTGTATGTGTATATAAAGGGATATTTTTACTATAAATTATAATCCTGTATATATATATTGCCTTTTGTCCTTTTCTGCAATTAATAAAATTGTGGTGTTTTGGTGTCACTCGATTCTGTGTTGTCTCACCTTAACTTTAAAAGTGTTTAGTTTGGGTTTTGTGTTTTATTTCAATATAAGAGAGTAGTGTCCTACTCTCAGGCACCAGTAATGCCTGTGCTCACTTCAACATAACCACGAAGCACAGGAAAGCAAGATTAGATCTGTCAGTTGAAAATTAATTTTTAATTTAAAATAAAACGATTCTGGGAGGTGAATTTTGTGCAATGAGAGAGGGTTTTTTTTTTTTTTTTTTTGCAGGTGATCTGCTCAGAGGCATCTAAAAATTTAACAAAACGGGAGCAAAGCGATTCTAGACAATCCCCAGCCTCTGGCACGGAGTAGGCCATACTGTAGGAGCACAGTTCTGCTGCTGGTTGCTCTGTCTAGTGCCACCTCCTGGCGTTCAAGCGCATTGCAGGTGACTGGATGGCAACCAGCCGGTCCCCGCGGGCTCTCGCACCCCTAGCAACAGGAAGTCCGCGTCTGTTTACTTAGTAACGGGGGTCCTCGCTCAGAGCAGCATGGCGAACGAGGAGAAGGAAAACATTGTTCGCAGTAAACGAGTGTTTATCAACCAGATCGACACCTACACCTCTAAGCATATTGGAAAGGTAGGAGATAAGAGTTTGCTCCGGAGACACGGGTTTGCGGACGAGGAAAAAAAAAACCTGCGAAATAAGTTAATACATCCTTTCTTTTTATAATCGTGTGAGATAATCTAAACTAAGAATTAGCTTCTTTAGCTCGTAACCGTATTTCTTAAGTGATGTCTGTGTCCAGAAACCTGTTAGGACAGTAACATTCCGCAGACAAAGCTGTTTGGCATGGAGTTGCACCATAGGAAGGATATTACCGGCAGTGGGAACAGTTCAAAGAGCACCTGTTCTCTCTTCCTTGACCTGCAGTATCTTTCCAACTGTGCTGTCGGAGCGTCCTTGGAGGAAATCGAGGGAGAGGAGGAGGAGGAGGAGGAAGAAAAAGCAGCTCAGGATGAGCTGCCCAAACCTAAAGAGGGAACTTTTCAGATTGTTGGAACCGTCTCTAAACCAGAAGAGAAAAAAATAGGTTTTGCACAAGAAGAATATTCAGTAAGTCAGAACACATCTATAAATAAAAAAAAATAAGGCATTCATCATGGTGCATCTCCTTGTGTGTTAGGAGCATACATGTTGAAATGTGCACTGTGCTTCTCTGTATGACAAGTGACAAATGATCACTGTAATGATTACAGCAATACCTCAGGTGGAAACAATGTTTAATAGATATAGTGTCATCTCCATTTTCACTTTCCATTCCACAAGTTTGAAGTATGTACTGCCATGATGATGCTAGTGGCTGGGGAAACACTTGCAAAGTGCAGAGTATTACATGCAGGTAGCAAAACTATACGGTACATACAAAATGGGAAACGCTGAGCAAGGCGAGGCTACTTATGAGTTAGACATGCTGATGTTGAGTCATTATTTATAGTACATCTTTGTGGGGAAACAAAAAGACAAACAGAATGTTAGCATATGTACTTAAAAGAATAGAATTTCAATCAAGGAGTCACTATTTTACAAAGGGTTGTGGGAGTAAGGAACAAGCTATCTAGCCATGTCATTGGAGCCTATCCACTTGCTTTTTACAATAAATAGTTGGATGAGATCCTTTGATCAGTGAGCTACTAACTAATTAGCTCCAGTGGCTTGACAGGCAGAATGGTCTCCTCTTGTTTGTGTTTCATCTTCTGTTCTTGTTTCAAGATTTCAACAAATCATGATTAACTTGATGCTTTTTGGTATCATTACAGATTTCAACTCGAGAAGAGCTGCTGGACCGTCTCATGGAATGTGATGTTGTAATTTACAACATCAGTGAAAATGCTGACCAGGTGGATGAAGCATCCTGGGCAATTTCAGGTGTGAACTAACATAGGTTTGGAAACGGTGAAGTTATTGCCTTTCTCTATCACAGACGTATTCTCTGCCCTTTTGATCTTCTGCTCTATATGCGTTGTTAGAACAGAAATGGTGAATTGCGAGATTACTTATGCATAATTGTCATGGAAGGGAATTGAAGCAATAAGCTATAAGATGAATGAAACAGATATACATCTCTATTATTGCAGAAAATTAAAGTAAAAGATAAGTAATAAGAGTACAAGTATTATTGAACAATCCATAATAAATCCTTATTTTTCACCTATACTGGTCATGTGCAATAGTACATCTCTCTAAAATCCAAAATATTTTTTACTTATTTAACATTATGGCTTTTGACATCAAACTTAAATGTCTCAAAATCCTTTGCAATTAACAACCTTGTTGAGACAGTTGTTTTATCACTATTTGGTGTTGAGAAAGAAGCTTATACTTTTATTTAATACAGATTTGGCTGTAATGCTCTGTTTACTTGTGTCACCAATCAAGCAATATCAAAGTTACAGCTGGTACAGAACGCAGATTCTTAGTTAGTGATCTCACCAAAACATAAAGCAACATATTAGTTCACTACTGCATACTCTGTACCAGCTTTCAGTGAAACATTGAATTTAATTTAGAATCACTTTGCTTGCATACAAATTACTCAGAGTTTTGGCTTACTTTGCAATCATGTTGTCTCCCTATGAGCCTAAGGAGGCACTGAGGTCAGTTAATTGACGAATTCCTAATGCAAGAAATTGTATATGGCTAATAAAGTGATCTTATTTTCCTTGATCGTGACCTTCTCTGCTACTGCAAGTGTCCAGAGTAGATTAAAAAGAACAGGAGAAGTTGCTTTCTAATTTGGGCCTCTAATTGTCTTAAAAAGCTTGCCTCCTGTGACTAGAAAAGTATACTTAAGTCATTCTTTTAAAAATTAGTTTTTGATCTTAAGCTGATTCATAATAGTTTGCTTTTAATTCCATTATAATATTTTTAACTTTGACTTTCTTCATTTTTAATTAGACCCATTTTATTTCTTCTGTTACTGTGTTTTTACTTTCTGTGTTTTGAACCTTGTGCATAAAAAGTGCTTTGTAAGTAAATGTTATACCACACTGTGCACCTTTACTTTGTTTGAAATTCACATAAATATTGCTTTTGCTGACTAAATTCTGTTTCAGCTCTGCATTCAGAACTGGATAATTTCAGCAGCCCAAAGATGTTCATCTTAATATCTACTGTGATGACATGGGCACTTAGCAAACCTGTTGATCCTGTAAGTAAACTACAGCCCTGTTTTTATTCTTTTAATTGCTCTTTTTCATATCTTAACAAAAATCTGATCTTTTAGACAAATGCACTAAAATGTGCAATTGCTGCAACAGGTTCAAACCTGAGGAAAAGCAAGAAATTAGATTAAGAAGTAAACTGAGACCACTTGCAAACATGATATGGCAGTGTCAGCACTCTGTGGTGGTTGCTGTTGTTTTCTAGGATGATCCAGAAATCCCCTTTACTGAGGATGACTACAGAAGGAGGAGACCTCATCCCAATTTTAAAGATCACATCAGTACTGAGAAGTTGGTCATTAAACTGGGCAAAACAGTAAGCAGCTTCCGTTACAGCACATGGAATCAGAATAGATCCACTACCAGGTCATCTCAGGAAACTCGGTTCACAACTCTCCTATTGTATATATTGTTTTTTTTTCTGAAATCTGTTTGTGTGCCCTTTGACAATAAATAATTGTGTTGTATTACAGAAAAAGTCCAGGTTGTCTACCTATGTTGTTGCTTCTGGCCTTCGGTATGGAATGGGGGAGCAGATCTTTCACTTCTTTTTCAAGGTCAACATTATAAACAGCATCATAATAACAGTACTAATAATATGATGAAGCTTGATAACTAACATTCACATTCATGTGGTCTCTTTTTTAGGCCTCATGGCTGGGAGAGCTTCCGTCGATTCCAGTCTTTGGACAGGGCACCAACATCATCCCCACCATTCATATCAATGACCTAGCAGGGTCTGTTGCTTGAACTCCTGTTTTCCACTTTGCATTCCAAACTTTTGCACATAGTACACGAGTGTGTATTTACACATCTGGATGCAGAATACCTGTGAGCTTTCGGTTCGTTGATGACTGAGGCTGTGCCTTTTCTGTTTTTTTTCAGAGTGATCCAGAATGTTATAGATCACAAGCCAAAGACTCACTACTTATTAGCTGTGGATGATTCTAAAAATTCGTTAGAAGACATTGTGAAGGTGTGGATTCACATGCATTCATATATTAATTTCTCTACCAAATGTACTAATAATTAGTATTTTAAGATAATAGAGACACGTTGTTTCTCTGATATTTTAATCTTTTTATGTTGTAAAAAATGTTAAGCACTGAATTAAGCACAGTTTGTCTGTGTCCCGGGAAATGCATTCTGGGTCTTTACTTTGTTCTTTCAACAGACTGTAAGCTCTGTGCTTGGACCTGGTAAAACACAGCGGGTGCCTAAAGAAGACGCTTTCCTCAACAGGGAGTTAATGGTGTGTGTGTTACTCCTCTTAATACTACTGAAGACTCATCTCATATGTATGGTGACAATTAGAGTCATGTGGCAGTGCCCTTCATGTTGTTTTGAATTTGACCTAGTTAGTTAAGTTGAAAGATAAAATGTATATTTTGATTTTTTCTGTTTTATTGTATGTTAACAGTTGATTCTGACAGATTTGCATTTTGTAGTACGAAAATTGCCTTTCAGTTTAATAGATGTGTAGAGTGGAATAAATGATGTTAATGACGACATTAGATGTTAAATCTGTTAGATGTATAGTTTGTGTGTGGTTTTGAAGATTATGAGTGAGTTAAAGATTAATTAATGGCAAGCTTGATTTTTTCTCACCCAGATTTAATCACCCAGACTAAACCATATTAATAAGAGTCAAGGTTGTTATAACAATAGAATAATACAATTGCTTTTACTTTATTTATGGACTAAAAAGGGCTTAAAAATAGTAGTGGGAGCTGTAAGTCAATTGCTGATGTTTATTGACAGTTTATAGTAACTCCAGGTTGTGTCTAAGATTTCTAAGACTTTTGCACAACAGTGTAGACAAATATAACAAAATTTTAAGACTAAACTGAAGTGCTCTTCTCTACTGTACTGTACATAACACACTTCTCGTTCTTTCTCTCCCCATCTCAGCAAGCAGACATTGACTCCCTTGCAGTGAGCCTACGTATGGAGACTGTCTTCCTGAAAGAAAATTTTAATATCCGCTGGGTGACAGAGACTGGGCTGATTGAAAACATAGAACACATAGTTAAGGAATATAAACAAACAAGAGGGCTTTTGGTAAGTGACTTGCTTCACAGAGCAGTTAAGATAGAGTCCCCGCCATTAAGAATGGAATAAATGTGTACCAGCTGGCCTTCAAAACATTTTTTCTTACAGGCACAAGTGTGTCAAAAAACAAAAAAGTCATGAACAAAAAAAATCTAATTTTCTCTATACAAATCTTTTTGTTATGTGTGATGCATTTCTATCCCTTTGGGTATTTTTGGCTTGAGAGAATTGTGCATTGGTTTCAGCCTGAGGGCTTTAACTGAACATATGTACCTCAGCCCACAAGTAAAAATGATGTTTAATTTTGTATGACATTTGTTGTATTTCTTGCAGCCAATAAAAATCTGTATCCTTGGCCCTCCTGCTGTTGGTAAAAGCACAGTGGCAGAAAAGATCTGTGAATGTTACAAGCTGCATCACGTTAAAATTAAAGGCGTTATCACGGAAGCAATTGCAAAGCTTGTAAGTTCTGACAGTGCAATATCTCGTCTTTCTAATATTGTTAGTCTTACTGCTTTACAAAAACACACACATTACACACAAGCAGCGTTTTATAAACTGCAATTTATCATAGTAAAACCAAGAGTCAAACTAAATTATACATTCAAAGTTATAATGAAAAGATGGGTCATTGTGAGAGTTCTAAAAATGTTGACAGTCGCAAAATCTTTAATCGATTTGGTAAATTGCACAGAGCTGTGCAGAGGAGGCTCTGCTGCCCATTGTTTTGAGCCTGGTCTTCAGCAGAGCTAGAAACCCTGAAAGAGTAGATCTCAGTTTCAGAATGTGATTACTCTCCTGCAATAGGCCCTTAAAATTACCTTTAGACAGGCACAGGAGAACTTCAAAGTCCAATCTAAAGTTCACAGCGAGTCTGTGTAATTTATAGAGAATGGGAGTTAATGCAGGGTACTTTTAGTTAGTGAATGAGCAGCAGAATTCTGGAATTTGGAGGCCTATTTAGGAAATAAGTAAGAAATCAAAGTAGTCTAATCTTAATGAAATAAAGGCATGTAGCAGTACTCCAACATCAGATACGCAGAACATTTCTTGACTCTTGAGACATTCATAACTTGTGCTTCATCTGACAACACAGAATCAAAATTAACACCAGGGTTTCTAACTTCCATGAAAGATCCAATTTCAGCATCTTGAACCAAACACTGAAGTCATCACTTTTTGAACCTGATTTTGGAAGCCCATGAACATAACCTTAGTTGTCACAGTGAAGCTTAAAAAAGCATTTTGATATTGAAGCTATGAAAAAAGAAGTCATGATGCTTCAGCTGTATTCACAAGAAAATATTTATTTTCAATGCAAAAAGTGTTTATTGAACTTGTTATGTCGATGTAATAAAGATGCGTTTCACTGGTGTGGTTTTATCTCAGGAGGTGCAGTCCCGAATGGAGGAGGGAGAGAATGAGGGTGAAGAATCTGGGGGAGGAGCACAGGAGCTCCTGGAGGCTCTGAAGGAAAACATGGAGCAGAACTCAGGTAATCTGGGCAGCTCTTCATCAATCAGTCACCCACGTGTCTGAGATTATCATAGGCCTGCACATCTGGAACTGTGAAGATCTAGGGAATAAACAAAGAAAAATGGATCTTATTAAAGTTTACAGCACAAATGTTTCAGGATAAAGGTAGACATTATTCTTTAGCTATTTTTGCTAAAGAAGATTTAGTACAGTTAAATTTAGAAATTGAAATGTTCCTGAATTGAAACTAAATGACAAGTCTGAGACGTGTTGTTTTTTTTCATTCTTTTCAGTCGGTGTTTTTCCTTCCTTATGCATTGACTCAATTCAGTAAATTCAGATTTACTACCACTTTGTAACCTGATCTTGTTAGATCTCAGAGCCTCGTGAGGTTAGGCCTAGTCAGCACAGGTGGCACTTCTACTGGCAAGCACCTATGATCCGGCAGGATTTTAATTAGCTGGATATCCGCTGCTCATGAGTGGGTCCAAGCTTGTTTACAGCTACCAATCCTGGCTCCATGTTTTCCATGCTGTTATTTAGCTCTACTGTAACCCCACATATATCTTGCAAGTAGTGAAATCGTAGGTACAGTTGCTCAGTGTTAGTATCATTATCAGTACTGCAACCCTGCAATCATTTTCAATTGGCTACATGGAAGCTTAAGGAGGGTATATAGGTATGCTCATATATAATAATTCAGGAGCATTTAATCTGCAAAATAAAAATTAAAAAAGAATCATATTTAAAAATTAAAAAAGAATCTCCTTCTGCCCTCCTTTAAATTGCCCTCCTTTAACTTGGTTTGGCACTGGTCAGATCCTGAGAGTGCAGGTCTGGAAACATTAGATGAGATACCTCTGAGGAAACACAGGTTGCTGTTGGAAGTGGTTTTGGTGGCACTGTTCTCACTAGAATAGAATAGCCAACAAGCAAATGCCCTAGGAAGGCCGACCCTGGGCACTGTACCATAGGATAGTCCATGTTAAAATGAGACCTCATCATGAAAGATCCAATAGCTTTGTTAAAAAGAATTGTGGTGTACTGACGAAAATTACACTCTGGAACTGTACAATCTACTTACTTTAATATCCCCCTTAATTCAGTTGATGAAACAATTTGGTATACAATATAATTTTTGTATAGAATAACTCTTGATTGTGTTAAGTCTTTTGCATATCCAATCCAGCCTTTTTTGCTGTAATTTGTACAACTACAGTATATACGTTTTTAGTCAGGACTGTGTTGTAGTCTGATAAAAACTTGTCATGTAGCCACAGTCATGTTTTTTCTTTTGCTGTTCCATTTCTCAGGTCGATTAGATGATCAGTATGTCATCCGGCTGATGAAAGACAAGCTGAAGTCAAAACCATGTCAGAACCAGGGATTTGTTTTAGATGGTTTCCCAAAGACGTATGAGCAAGCTAAAGAGCTATTCTATGGTAATCCCTGCTTTTTTTTTAATTCATACCCACCAAACATTTATAATAGTGCATTTCCTTCAAGTAATATGCATTTATTGCCTCTTTAGGAGATGAAGATGAACCAGAGGATGCCAAATCCAAAATACCTCCATTTGACAAGAAAATCATACCAGGTTAGTCTGTGACTTACAAACATGCACTTGAACAGTTCCAGCTCAGCCTTGTTCCTCATTACGATTTTCCCCTTGTTGCTTTCAGAGTATGTCTTCTCCCTGGATGCCACTGATGAGTTCTTAAAGAATCGTGTGCTGAACCTGCCAGAGAGTGTGGTTGCTGGGACTCATTACACCCAGGATCAGTTTTTGCGCCGCCTGGCAGCCTTCAGAGAAGCTAACGTTGAAGATGAAACTGTGCTCAACTACTTTGATGAGCTGGAAATTCACCCTGAGCACATCCGTAAGACTAGGAGCACACATGGTTAACATATTTCATTTCAGAGATGCCTAAATGACCTGTGTAGTGAATACCCCAGTGTGGGGAATTGTGGTTGAAGGTGAATTAGTCATTTACCTTAAATTGTATCTATCTTGGCTATATTTAGATATTTCCAGCAGAGACGATGCTGAATACACAGCTGTGATTGAACAGATTGAAAAAGTTGTTGGGAAACCCAGAAACTACGGGCCCACCGTGGAGGAACTGGAAGAGCTGGAGCGCAGGAATGCTGACGAGAGGCTGAGGCGGGAGGCAGCCGAGCAGGCAGAGAGGGAGAGGAGGGAGGCAGGGGAGGCTGCAGACAGAATGGCACGCTGGGAAGAGTGGGTATGTTCCAGTTCCCAGAGAGGAAAGAGTGTCTGAGTGACTGTGAGTGCTCTCCTTGTCACGGTGAAAAAGCCCCCCTTCACTATTTCCAGATTGATCCTTGCAATATTTTGTCTTTGAGCTGTTCTACTTTGAGAAAAATAAAATTAGCAAACATTTCCTTACAAAAATATACTTACTGCTGATCTCAATTTGCTTCTGCTGTTTTTCAGATTCTAAAGGTGATTAGATTCCCCAGTGTACACAGGTGCCCTTACTCCAGTTTGTTTTCTCTCAGCCAGTGGCTGTTGTGCTCAGATGTCACCGGTTGTGCTTGATAGAAAGGGGACAGTATTTCCAGTGCCGTGTGCTGCTTGTCTCCAGAACAGGCGTCTGGAGGAGGTGAAGCAGCAGGAGCAGGAGCAGCTGGAGGCGCAGGCGGTGCCCCTGAGGAATTACCTGATGAGGAACGTCATGCCCACTCTCACACAGGGGCTGCTCCAGTGCTGCAGGGTGAAGCCCGACGACCCTGTGGACTTCCTGGTACCGTTCCCCCTCGGCACTGCCACTCTCTGCCACTCTCTGCCACTCTTTTCTATACTCTGCCACTCTTTTCTATACTCTGCCACTCTCTGCCACACTCTGCCACACTCTGCCACTCTCTGCCACACTCTGCCACTCTTTTCTATACTCTGCCACTCTCTGCCACTCTCTGGACAGTGAACGTCACACTGTGCTCATTCCTGCTCTGCGCAGAAAATGACTCTTCTTTCTGCTCGCGCACCAGCTTCTGCTTTTAGAAAAACGAAAAAAAAAAACGTAGATGGTGTGTTTTCCTGGGGTTCCCCTTGACACCAGAATAAAAGTCTTACTGTAATTCAACAGAAAAGGCCCCCCACCCTCTATAGAGTGATATTGTTTTACTGGCCGGTATATTTGAACCAAGCAGGAATAAATACAAAAGAAACAAGCAAGGTTTGATTTCCTGCTGAAAAGAGAAAAAAAGAAAAATAACTTTTCGGCTGAAGATCTTCTTCTTCACAACCGAAGAAGGCTCCACAGCCAAAACGTTGTGTTCCTTTTCTTTTCTTTTCAGCAGGGAATAAACCTTCACTTGTTCCTTTGCAGCCTACGCACGCAGCTCCCTACTTGAACATATAAGTACCAAAGAACTGTCTTGGTGGAGCATGGGGTTTGAATGAAAGGATGCTAAATATTAATAAATGTGGCTTTATGTTGTATCACATTACATTCAAACTTTGGGTACTTTAATAAAAAAGGAAATGTGTATAGTGAAATTGTTACAGAACATTATTTTTCGATAATATATTTTACATTTTAACTTGTACTTTATCTTTTTATTTCAGGCAGAATATCTGTTCAAGAACAACCCTCAAATTGATTGAACAACTGAGCTGTTTTTAAGCTGAAGAACCACCTCTTTAAGACAACTGAATTTTGTCTTACTGGATCAAACATCAGTGACACACGGTGCCTTAAAATGTGTTCTGTTCTATTTGTGAGAATTTCATTCACTACAATATAATTGTATTAACTATGTTTTGTTTGGTGATTATCCCTTTCTTATGTAACAACATGTAAAGATTAAGACAGGCTCCTGAAAAACTGAAACACAGTAGATCCTAAAGACTGAATACGTTTTGTTTTGTTGCTAGATTTAAAATAAAAAAATAAAAACTATATTTTTAGTTTCATTTTAAAAAGATATTATATATATATTTTTAAAAAGACATATTACGTATTCACAAGAGAAAACACTATAAATTGAAAATATTGAACTACAATACCCATAAGGCAGTGGGGGGTACGTGTGACCCCTGCAATACGTCATTCTCGAAGGTTGCTGTGGCAGCAGTGGCGCCATGTTGAGACGAATAAGAAGAAACGATAACAGTGGGGTAAAGCAGACGATAAAAACCAACGTACTGTAAAGGACTAATAAAATATCATGCGAAGGGCATTCTGGAGTGTTTGAGACTACACGTTGGAGTTACGATGCCTTTGTAAGTATATTCTGTCTTTAACAATTGTGTTTGAATCGGGGACCGAGCGGGCCTATTCCGGTCCTGCAAAGGAACAGAAACTGAACAGGAACATCGGTAGTTTTGGTTGTATGTGCTTACAGTTTATGCACATTTACTGCAAAAGAGACTACCGTGGTGTGCCCACAGGGCGTCCTTGTACTCTATGTAATAAAGTGTGGCGGTTTGTGTGTCGGCCGGTGAGGCGGAGCTCCGAGCCCTGCTGACATGAGGGAGCTTTGTTTACCCCTGGATGCGGTAACAGACTCCAGCTTTGCGCGGGTATATGCACCGCTGGGGCTCGTTTGCTCAGGCTGCACCGGGATCTTACGGAACATATTGCACGCAAATGGCGTTTGTGCTCTATGAGGGTTTACATCTTAGAAAACCTGACGTTGTGTAACATGAAGTGAGGTGAAGGACCTCATTACATATATGTCATACAAGACATCTAACACAGGTATGTATTATTGCACTTCAGTGTAGCATCGTGTAGCAAAGAGCTCTGGACATTGTCCTTTTCTGTACTTCCTAGAAGCTGCTGCGTCGTCGGATAGTCCACCGGTATAGCGTGAACACAAAGCTACACTTATCCCCGCTCTCCGCTGGAAATAACATTTACTTCTGCTTTTAGAAAAAGAAAGGAGAAAACGTTTTCCCCGGGGTCTCTGCCATCTCTTTACTCTGGCTGTTAGACTTGTTCGACGAATTGTTGCTCATTAAATAAAAATCCCAGTCCAGGACTGTGACCGTCGAGTAAACTGTCTTTCAGCTGAGGTGGTAGACAGCTGTAATTCGTGTTTTATGTTGTATGCACTCAATATATTCTAATACCCGAATGCATAAAACAGTTCTGTCTTTTTAAAAAAAATGCCAACTCGAAAGTTCCCAGTTAAAAGTTCACGGTTGGATGTCAGCTTTGGAATACATGCTCAAAAACGTCTGCATCACTTTGGAGAGCTAGAAAAATAAGGAATGTGAAAGGTCAACTTAAACTCTTCTGAATCTCTTTAGAGATTGGGTCTCTTAACTTCCTTTTGTGGTAATGATCCCAATTGAAGGTCATTTTAGAAGTTGTTAGGCTATCATCAATCCAAGTTGACCAGCCTCACTATTTACATTTTACCCCTTCTTTAGAAAAAAAGTGTTTGCTAATGTCACATACTTACTGACTGTATTGTATTGCTGTATTATTGTATCATTTCGTTACACTGCTGTGTTGACTGTGCTAAGCTGCTGTTGCACTGCAATTTCCCTCACGGTATCAATAAAGGATCTCTATATACTGCTGTGGACATTTTTCATTAGGAACTTTTGTTTTGCAGAACTGATTTTAAATCAGTTTAAATCAATCAGAAATCTGATAACAGAAACAATAAAATAAAACCCCATGGTTGTGAAATTAAAGGCAACTATGAGAAAAAGAGAATACCCCAGCATTCACACGTGAATATTCTCTCTGTGTTCACATGGCTTTCTTTCCACCTCCCAAAGACATGCAGATTCAGTCTCTTTGACCTTTAAATTGTCCCAATCAGAAGTGTGTGGAGGGGTTTTCATACATGGGGGGGAGGGGTTCCCAGCTCAACAAGTAGGAGAAATTGAAGCGGATGACAGTGATGTGCTGAATGGCCGCCTTTCGGATGGTCTGGTCATTGGAATGCTGTTACATCGGAATGGAAAGTAAACTCGGTACCAGATTACCAGGATTTTTGGTCCTATGACAAACAAGACCTAATGTGTGTTCTGTGCAGAAGTGGAATCTGAAATGCAGCTTTTTTTTTGTGGCAATTTTGATGGCAACAATTTCTGCAAAAACTATCGTATGAAAGAGTCACGTTAGCCGCAGTACAAACACAAATCCTAAAGGATCATTTAAAATGACTTATCTTTCCGATTATTTTGTGTTTTGCAGTCCTGTCGCCAATCAGGCTGTGCAAGCATTGCAGCAGCCCACCAAGCACTATGGCATCACTTCTCCGATCAGCCTTGCCCTCCCAAAGGAGGCCGACCTTGTTCTCACTCAGAAGCTAACCGAGGCTCTTAAGCCCTACGGTGTGTTTGAAGAAGAGCTGGAGCTGCAGCGCAGGTGAGATAATGCATGAAGTAGCTATGGAGCATGGTTAGTCCTGGGGTTATGTTAAAATCTCCTCATTAGTAACTGTCTGTTAGGTTGTTGAGTGTGAAAATGAATATATATGGCCCACAGTGTGCAGTGATGTAGACCTACATCCAGCTAGCAGCCATATCACCCTGCAACTCACAACTGGTAACCCATTGTAGCTAACCAGGTGTGAGCCTCGTCAGTACCTGGATGGGAGACCTCCTGGGAAAAACTACAGTTGCTGCTGGAAGAGGTGTTAGTGGGGCACGCAGGGGGCGCTCTCTCTATGGTCTGTGTGGGTCCTAATGCACCAGTATAGTGACGGGGACACTACACTGTAAAAAGGCGCCGTCCTTCAGATGAGACGTAAAACTGAGGTCCTGTGGTCGTTAAAAATCCCAGGGCATTCTTGCCAAAATTCCCTTATGAATCATGACCTCCTAATAATCCCCCATCTATGAATTGGCTTCATTACTCCGTTCTCCTCCCCACTAATAGCTGGTGTGTGGGGAGCGTTCTGGTGCACTATTGCTGCCGTCGCATCACCCAGGTGGGCCTGCACATAGGTGGTGGTGGAGGGGATCCCCATTACCTGTATAGCGCTTTGAGTGGAGTGTCCAGAAAAGGGCTATGTAAGTGTAAGCAGTTATTATTATTACATCCTGTAGACTGAAGGAGCTCTCTGGTGCTTTGCAAGATTCTGTCTTTAATATTGTGATGAGTCAAACTAAGTTTGTTTTAATGTGAGAAGAGAAGGAGAATTATTGAATTAATAGTAATTTCTTATACTTATGTAGAGCTTTTCTGGACACTCCACTCAAAGCGCTATACAGGTAATGGGGACCCCCCCACCACCACCACCACCACCACCACCACCACCAGTGTGCAGCCCCACTTGGATGATGTGATGGCAGCCATAGTGCACCAGAATTACCATTGATTGCAGAGTTCTGCAGGTTATTTTTCTCAGAGATTAAAGTGTAACAATGGATGTTAATTGTTATGCAATACTGATTTTTTTTTCCTGTTCAGAATTTTAGTCTTGGGTAAATTAAACACCCTGGTTAAAGAATGGATCAGAGACATCAGTGAAACAAAGGTATGTTTATTTTTTTCACTGCTCATGTGGATATCAAGAATCAGTTTTAGTGTTTTGATCAGTGTTAATATACTTGTTGCTGTCAGTTGATATAGTAAAAAAAAGTACATACTCTTAGAATATGTATTTAATTATGCACTGAAATATGCTTTCTTTTTATTTTATCCAGAATTTGCCAGCCTCTATAATCGACAATGTTGGAGGAAAAATTTTCACTTTTGGTTCCTATAGATTAGGTGTTCACACAAAAGGTAACATTCATTTTAACTGAAATTGTTTTTTGTTTAACTGGCCATGTGAAAGTGGTTTCTAATTAGCTATATTTAGGAAAATATTTCAGAGTTTAATATGCAAGATGTGCCGGTGTTACTCCTCATGGGCTTCTTATAAAATCAATTTGATAAATAATGCAGGAAGTGGCATGAGATATGAAAGGGTACACTTTGAACACTTTTGAATTCTAATTTTTGGAAGCAGAAGTCTTATTTTTAATGTTTGTAAGATTTTAAGAGGTTTTAATTTTATGTTCCCTGACATTAGTCATACAATCGAGTTATACTCTATTTGATATTTAACTTTCTAATGTCTGCACTTTGCTGTTTGGGTACAGGTGCTGACATTGATGCACTCTGTGTTGCCCCACGACATGTGGAGAGGTCTGACTTTTTTACTTCGTTTTATGAAAAGCTTAAAGAACAAGAAGAAGTCAAAGACCTGAGGGTAAGTGGAAGTCCTAACTGGCAAGAAAGATGACATTAGGAATACCATCCTCGACGTTAAGTGCTGTTCAAAAACAACTAATAGCTTTTAAATTCAGTGTTAGTATTTGTCAGTAATGCCTCAGATCTATAAAATGTCAGGTGTACTCAACTGTAGTGCCAGTAGTTAATGCATTTATTTATTTTTACTTAAGAGCGATTCATTCTGTAATTTAAAAAGAGCATTTTGCAAATTATGTTGATTATGTTTCCAGCAGTATATACATGTAGGAAATTTATTTTCTTAACATTGTAATCTCTGTTGTAATTGCTTTAGTTTCTTCATCCCAGCTTCTAATTAGTAATTGCAGTTGCATGTGAAGTACCGGTAGTGGACAAAAAAGATGGTTTTGATACACCATGGCACAGAGTCTACCACTGTGTGGAATTCTGTAGACATCTGGAGCGATTCAAGATCATCCGTCTACAAAGCAATCAGTCAGGTCATGTCTGGTTGATTTTGGTGGAAAACACTCTTAGGTGTTGCTTCAGAATATACTATAATGGGTAAATTGGGTTCAGATCTGGTAACCGAACATCAAGGTTGTGTTCAGTCAACCATTAGGTGACATCATCTTGGAAGACACTATACATATACTTGTTTGCTGTGCACGTGGTGAAGGATGATTCATCTGGACATAACAGTGTTTGTTCACTGATCTGTGATCAGTTGCCTGAACTCTTTGCATCACTAGATTTGTAAGTGACTGTTTTTGATTAAACTGGCTGGTTGCTTTTTCAGGTCAGCTTTGTAATCAGTTGATCTGCAGTTTCTTGCCAGTTAGGCCTTGCAAGTTGAGCTGCTGCGCTGTCGAGCTGTCTTGGTCACAGAAGCTCCTGCCATATGCCCCCGACAATCATGCATCTTTTGGAGTCACTGAGGGCTCCTCCTCTCACCGGCCTGCTGGCCGTAATTTAAGCAACCAGGCTTGTCTGGCATTTTTTGTACATGACTCTAAGTATTCTCATTGTATAAGCTTAGATATTTGTTTAATGCATGAGCCATACCTTTCTGGTTGCCCTTTCAGTATAGTAAGTACCCTTCATTTACCAAGGTTTTCATTTTTTTTGTCCACTTCCTATAGGAGTATGGTTTGTAATTCAGCTTTTCTTTTTGCTTTTTTATAGGCTGTTGAGGAAGCATTTGTCCCAGTTATTAAATTATCGTTTGATGGCATAGAGGTAGGATTGATGTGTTTCTATTCTCGTTTTATTTTAACTCTTTTGATTCAATTTTTCCAAGAACATATGCAATGTCAGAAATGAGGAGACCATCAACCCACAGAGCTTGTTTGCATGCTAGCAGTTCATTTATCCAAGGGTTTTATACAGCTGTTTTGTGAAAGAATAAAAAGTCTTGGATTATCCAACATATCTAGCAATTTGTTTCAGATTCCCGTAATCCTTTGTATGGAGAATTGTCTGTTCACCTGTATTGGAAGTACTTCCCCTTAGTTTTCATGTGTCCTCTGCTTGTTTCACTGTTGACACTGTTAACATAGGTTATCTTTCACATTGTCTTTAAGGATTTTGAACTTGATAAACAAGCCCCATATTGTTTGAATACGTTTTTTCCTTGGGTAAATGTAAAGTAACCTTAATTTCCATTATTTAAACATTTGATGACCAGTCAACTAATAGTTCAGTGTAGCTACTTGTCCTACAAGTGTGGTGTAACTAGTGATTGACTATTCTGTTGTGATTGAATTAAGTAATTAGAAAAGATTTTCCGCTTGAAACACTACTTGTTTCTCTCTTGTTTTTAGATTGACATTTTATTTGCTCGATTAGCATTGCAAACAATTCCTGAAGACCTGGATCTTCGAGATGATGGTTTACTCAAGAATTTAGATATTAGGTGCATACGAAGTCTTAATGGTAAGTTTTCCAACAGTAACAGACATACATTGTCATACAGTCAAATCAAAAGGCTAGTCTCATTAAGTGTAAATATGACCTGAAGTAAATCAAAAATCAGACCTGCATGCCAATTTCAGATAACAAACCCTAAGTTTGACAGCTGTTTTAGTGGCATATTTTTACCCAGACTGGTCAAGAGGCTGAAGAAAGATATTAGATGTGAAAAAGGGGTTAACTGATTTCTTTCTGCACAAATACTTCTTGTAACACAAGACATTCCATGCTTAGGCACCTTTGAGTTATGGCAGGGATGGGAGTTAATTGATATGAAATTCTAAGTGTAAGATAAAGACCCCCCTAACTAAGGAAAAATAAAACTGAGCATTAAAAGTGTTCAAGGTCTTGGGAATGTCCAAACACAGGTGGCCCCCCATTACCATGGTAACAAATTGCGTCAGAAGTGGCTAAAATTTGCTATATAAACTAGAACTATTGTACCTATATTTTGAACAATACTTTGGTCTTACTGTTCCTTGCATGCAATAAACTCAGGTGTTTAAACTTCATCTTGGGTTCTAGAAATTATTTATCTCTTACTACAAGGAGTTAGATTTGTAATGGATAGTTGGTTTAAGCATTATTTAGTCCTGGCCTGCTTGTCTGATCTCTGCAGAACTGTATATGTTTCTCCCAAGCAGGGAGTAGTTCCTTTTAGATATGGACTATTATGTTAACACCAGTAAACGTCAATTGTAGGCCTCAGTGCTTTTTTTTTTGTCCAGGACTGTAAAGCACCCTTTTGTCATGTTGGCATTTTTGTTTGTGTTGCATTTACAGGTTGTAGAGTCACTGATGAAATTTTGCATCTGGTACCAAGCATTGAGAACTTCAGACTTACCCTTAGGGCGATCAAGCTGTGGGCCAAACGTGAGTTTTTTAATTGCATTTCTTCTTTAACCAGTTCATATGTCATCAGTCAGGTAGTGGAAGACATTTCTACATGCTGTATTTGATTAAATCTGTGATCTCTGTAATCAGGTTATAGTGTTCTATAATTTATCAATTTCGAACTTGAAGTTTCAAGCTGTCTAACAAAGTGGATCATCTTTCTTGCGAAGAGCATGCAAGCTGAGCTCTTAGCTTTTCCCATGTTTAACATTTTGTTCGTGCTGTGAAGCACAATTTTGAATGTAATAATGTCTCACATTGTGAACATAGCCAATTGAGGAGGAAGTCTGAGTTATTAGCTTCTACCTGACAGTTTTTTCAATAAAGATTGTGTACAGTAACGCACGATAACTCCCTGTGTTGCAAAGCACGTTTTTGAGGACTTTTGAAATATTATTTTTAAGGCATGAAGAAAATTGCTGCAAACAGGCATTAAAAATGAGAATTGCATGATTTTTGTATTGGATATGGTAGCAATAAGACCTTTAAGGAAATGATTATAGTTATTGAACTTAATTTAACTTGGACAGAAAAGCTGTAACTTGAGTGTATTCCAGGTCACAACATCTATTCTAACATACTTGGCTTCCTCGGTGGTGTGTCGTGGGCTATGCTCGTTGCTAGAACATGCCAGTTATATCCAAATGCTGTAGCATCTACACTTGTTCACAAGTTCTTCCTGGTGTTCTCAAAGTGGTGAGAAATTAAGCATTCTTATTTTTGTGTATTTTTCATTTTATTTAATGAAATAGATGTTTTTTGTAAGTAATGTAAGTGGTGTGTTAATCGTATTTTGCAGTTTTGGTAAATCTGTAGGTTATATTATGATTAAATTAATAATTAAGCTTTTAATTAATTTAAATTAATGTGTTTAACTCTTGACCTTGAAGATAAATCACAGTTAAATCATTCAGTCCTTGTGATAGCTTTGCTTCTAAATTTAAAAAAAAACATAAGTTCTACCCATAGTCCAAGAAAACACATTGTAGATATAGGGTGTATGTATGCAGAAACATAAACACGTTTTGGTTACAGTAACTTACATTAATGCGATCTGAATTGTGTTTCTTTATCTTAGGGAATGGCCAAATCCAGTCCTTCTGAAACAGCCAGAGGACTGCAATCTCAACCTTCCAGTTTGGGATCCCAGGGTAATTTAAACATTCCTGTTAAATTTCTTGAGTCTATGTTCATTGATTGAGCTGTCAATGAGGATGAAGAATCGTTTTGTCCTTTTTTTAATAGTTTTTTCCTGTGAGCATTAAAAAATGGGTTGTTGTAACTTATTGAATAATACAACACTGCTTGCCTCAGCTTTATAAGGTTTCAGATTTGACACCATTTTTTTCTGGCTTCTGGGCACAGCAGGAATATGTCACTGCTTTGTATTTTTTGTCTTTGACAAGTTCACTGATAGTCAGAATTCTTAGGATGTTCAAGCAGCCAGAGAAACACATTAAGGTTGAAATAAAGTCAATAAAGACTCATTTATTCTAGTTTACAGTGTATTTGCTTTTCTTTTTCCCTACCTGAACAGGTGACTCCAAGTGACAGATACCATTTGATGCCCATTATTACACCAGCCTATCCACAACAGAACTCTACCTATAATGTGTCAATATCAACTCGAGCTGTCATGATTGAGGAGTTTAAACAGGGTCAGTAAAATATGTCCATAATACAAGTTCTGCACAACAGCATAGACCTTGCATGATTAAGCTTTTGATGTTTGTGGAATCAATCTGTTTGTCTTTTTAACTCCATAACGTTTACATGGCTATACATTGTCATTAGATTGACAAGTATTTAATTTGAAAAGTTGGTGCTCTATTGACGTGTCTGTTTTAGGTTTTCTTGCAGACTTTAAGGTGCTAACATTTTTGTACTAAGGTGGTTATTAAATCAAGCAGTATCATTTTAAATAAAAAATGAAATTTTAGAGGTAATATCTCAAAATGATGAAAGTGTGCCATACTCGTATGTAGTGCAACTAAGTTTTACACATACACATTCTAAGAAGGTATTCTGTCATATCGGAATGAGTCTTGATTGTAAGTGAGATTTTTTTTTTTTTTGCTATAGGTCTTGCCATCACAGATGAAATTTTGCAGAATAAAGCAGAGTGGTCCAAACTTTTTGAAGCACCAAACTTCTTTCAGAAATACAAGTATGTATTAAACTGCCTATCTTGCTGGACACACATGGTGAGAGTTTACTATTTCAATAAAGATTTTTTTTTCAAAATATATCCACCCTTCTTAGAAAATGTGATGTGATTTTTGTGTGATTTGTCATTTAGATTTGGAATTATTTCCAGTGTGAGTTTGAAATAAAGGCATATGTAGACCAGACTGTTAGTACATTTTTTTTAGTTAATTAACATCAGTTTCTTTCAGCAAATAAACATTTCTCTGAGGTATAATGTACTGAATGAGTTTATTAACATACAGTAGTTTAGAATTTCTTAGTTCTGATCTCGCTTCTTTTAATATTCAGCATGAAGTGATACACAAGTGTCAATAATACTTGTAAATGTTGAGCTTAGAAGTGAAAAGGTAGGTACAATAGTTGTACAGTATTTTATTAAAATATTTGTCTCCTGGTTTTTCTTGTGCTTTATTAAACTGTATGCTTTTCCAAATAAAATACTTTAGTTCACAATTTGCACTATGTATTTCTTGTTAGTGTGGTTTCAGCAGCTTTTTTTTTTACATATTCAGTTAACTTAACAGGTTTTTACCTTCTTTAAAATACAGTAAGGTACTGGGTGATTAAGACATTAACACCTGTAATGTACCACAAAATGCGAGCTGTCATATTCTAAATTTGAATTGCCAATGTTAAGCTTGTTGTTCCTTAAATGCACACATACTTTTTTCTTACTAAATAGAAGAGTTAAACAGATAATTCAACTGCAGAGTTGACATTTTAAGAAACTTGAAAAACCATTTTAATATATCAGTTAGTAGAAAAGTTATTTTTCGCACAAAAATAATGTTATACATTTGGGCTGGGAGCAGACCAATTCTTAACCGTATTGTATAAGTTTCGGTTGAGTTAAAAGTGTGAATATCTTTCATACAAAAGCTTCTGTAGCTGTGAAGACCAGTGTCTGGATTCTGTACGTCCAGCATTTTGTCAATATAGTGTTGAGTATTTGTCCGTATAAAACTCCTCTTCAGTGCACAGAGAAGTAACTCACCTTAATTCTGCATGAGAGACTAATAATTTTCATATAGGCTCATGTATAACTCCACTTCTCAACTGGTTTTGATAGAGCGAAGTAAAATAGGAATAATGTGTTTGAAGCCTGCAAGACAGAACGAGGGTTTCAGTGTGGAAAGCGGTGTCTTTGGAAGTTTTTTCTTGTTCTGTGAAATGGGGTCATTCAAAATAAGCACACAACTGTGGCCTGAGACTGCCTCTGTCAAGACCTGATAACTTAGTTGTTTCCAAAACTCCATAATAATGAGTGCATTAGTTAGTGCAGCAATGGAGGACAATATAGGTATTAAGCCTGGCCATACAGTTACTGTAGAAATTATGTTGCTTTCCTCCTTTCCTTTCATGATTTTGTTTTTGTCTACGCTGACAAGATATTGTGTTAATCTAGTGGACAACAGAAGATCACATGGATTTAAAGTAGTATCACTGACTCTATAAATGACCAGATTTATGGCAGAACATGTCAGACGTATATTCTGTGAAAATGACTCCTCTTGGTAATATATTTGTGATCAGAAAGTGTGTTCTCCGATATTATTGATGCTGTGCAAGCTGAAGACGTAACTTAAGCTTTTTAAAGCAGCAAGTTTTTATATCCTTTTCAAAACAAAAAAATTAGAAGTGGTTTGCTTTATTTTTCTAAATATATTTTTAAAAGACCAATTACAATTTAAAATTACTTAGTAACTAGAGAAAGATCTTTTTCGAACAATGCCAATGAGTCAAAGAATCTATACCAAGTACCCAGTATGACACTGCTTTTGAAGACATTGTATAGTGTGTAGCTTGTAGTTGACTTGCCTGAGCAGTAAACATGATTAGCATGTGTACAAGCAGTCTGGATCGAGGCACAAATCTCCCCAATTGATATCCATTCTTCTTAATTCCTTAGTGTCTACTAATAAGCAGAATGTTCTGATCAGATAATGAATCATTTTACTAAACCTGAGTTCTGTTAATCTTAAAATGGATTTCTACCCGATTGCATATGAACCCAGAGTACAGTGTTCTTACCGTTTATTTTTAATGGAGTTGAGTTGAGGTCATGAGCTCCTTATCTTCCTTTTGTGATTTTGCTCAGGATTACTGTATCTCAAACAGTTGTGAAAATGTTGCACTATTGGAAGCAGGAAGTATAGTAAATATTCTACATTTTGGTAGAGCATGAACTTTTTTATAGTTAATGGAAATGTAACAGAAAAGATTTAATTTGGATAAAGAATTTATACCATTTCCTTGCCAAACCTTAGAAATCCAAGTACTGGCACAGAAGCTGAAGTAATTATTTAAACTGACAGAGATTTTTGTTTCTCACTTAACCTAATTCATAAAAAGAAGTCTGCTTTCCCGTCTAAAGCATGAATAGGCTACTAATCACTACCTCTGGATCCAGGCTAGAGACCATTACGAATTGTCACTGCAGCTGTTTGCCACCAGAGGGATTGCTACTTTACAATTTCCCTGTTGAGGAACAGCAATCTGAGGTTTTCATACTTGTGCAAATTAGATTATAACATTTTACGACACATTGAGAGTTTGCTTGTTTTGTTAAAGTTTCAGAACTAGAATAGAGCTCAGTGCTATTAGGAATGAGACTCCTCAAATATGTCTGACAAACAGGATCCATTTTTTTCCCCAAATTTCAGACTACTTTGCCAAGTTGAAATTTCTCTAATGTTTTGTTTTGGACAAGTAAGACTTCAGAAATGTAGCAGACACCAAGTTTTTTTTAATAGGTTGTACTTTACTGCTCTTTTCCTCTCGTATATGGGCCAAGTCTAAAGCTATATCTTTTGATCCAGAACCAAGTCAGTACCTTCAGTGTTGAGTGTACTTTTTTTTTACTATAACTTTAGCAAGACTCACTGTAAAAGGCATTCAGATAAGGTTTATTTTTTTGGTCTTAATGTGCTTAGCTTCATACAATAAACAATTTATACTGTGTGCTATTATTTACGATGCAGTATTTATCCTGTGTTTCATAAGCTTCAGGTTTGCCTATATCCCCACTGCTTTGTGAATTTTATGTACCATATATTTCTGAATAAATGAATGATTTCTTCCTGTGTCAGACCTTTTATTTTACACGTAAGGCCTGATGAGCAGAATTTTTCCCTGTGACTTCTGTGGAATAAGTGTCATGCCCCACCAATGGAAAGGAACTTTCGAGCCTCATACCTGTGCTGTTTTCCAACAGAAGTGAGGCAGAGGAGTAAAGTGCCTCTTGGTTTAATGCAGTTCAGTTGTGTCCTAGCTCCTTGTAATGGAAGAACGGATTCAAGTTTTTGAGAGGAATATAAAGCCATTAACTTTAAGATTATATTCTCTGCTATTTTGAACTGTCATTTTACCTTATTTTTAATTTATTTCAATTAGAACATGTCTTACACTGTTTTTTTCCATGAAAAGTGTGCATATATTCTCATATTTAAGTTAATTTGATATACTGAGCTGTATTCTTCCATGCTGGGTTTTTTTACTTCAATTTAGAATCCTGTTTTGCTTTTATTGTCCATGAGGGTAAACAATTCACAAATGCAGTAAAGTAGTGTGAACAGGAAGATTACAGTCTTAATTTGTAGCATTTATAAAATATTTACATTTAAAGTATCTTTTAAGTTCTTCATATTTGAGTTTTTAGGTTGTTTGCTTTGGCATGCATAATTTCATATGTTTTTGCAGATAAGTTCCATCAGTTCTCATAACTGTCCCAGTTGCACATTGTACCCCATGTGCTTTCATGTCCTTTTGAGGGCGTAGAATGTGGTGTTAGGGGTGTGAACTGCTCTTGATATACAAAACAAGATATACAAAGGAAGCTACATTTCCTTTTAAATTTAGCTGAGAGCAAATAAATCAAACACATCCTAATAAAACCTGCAAAGGATGAATAAGTTAGCACACAGAATGTGATTTAATGTGTCTTGAGGACTCCCCCCCCCCCCCCCCCAAAAAATCAAATGACTAACAGGTCAGTGCCGCTTCGGTGTTGATGTTAAGAAACCTCACGTTAAGAAGAAAGTGACATTTAGCTTTAGGATTTTATTCTTCAAATTGGAAAGTAAGTTCCTCTTCCAGATCCACACTGACATGTACAATGTAACAGCTATAGGTGAAAATGAAGATATGTGCTTCATTTACCTTTTTTGTTATTGTAAACTTTACATTCCTCAAATGGAAATAAGTTGGCCAGTGAATTTGCAAACAAAAAATATATTTTAAATATAATGATATTTTTAAAATAATACCATTTAGTATATGCAGATTGTGTATATAAAGCACTTGTCAGTACCTCTTAGATGTTTAAATATAATAGTTTGGGGGGAAAAAGTAAGATTAGAAATGTAAATCATGTCATTTTTCTTATTTGAAATACCACATAGGTTAACAGTAGCGACGGAGGTACCCTGTTAAAATGTTCAGTGGATCTTTAAAGTTTATTCCAAGCAGTGACAGAGACCTGAATTTTTTCCCTTCCCTGAAATACATTTTGGACATGCTTTTAATGCACACAAAAACACCAAACTGAGAAACAGGATTATTCCTTAGCCGAGGAAATATAAAAAAAGCTAAATTTTAAAGCTAGGTGCCAGGTGCTACCTGTGATATGTACCTTCTGTGTGGCCATGTAGTTACATCTAAACCCTGGTGTCTCTGCTCATGTAATGTTGTCCACCTTGGTGTTTTTCATATCATGTCTAAAGGTAAACAGTACGTCTGCTTTGTTAAAGGATGTAATGGAATTGTTCTGTTTTTATATTCCAAGGCATTATATTGTGTTGCTAGCAAGTGCACCGACAGAAAAACAGCACCTGGAATGGTAAGTAGAAGCAATTATTGTAATGACATATTGTAGTGACATTCGTTTTTCAGCTTACTTATGTTGTATAACTCACAAAATAAGTTCTTCACTATGTCAGCATCATAGATCAAGGATTTTTATTTACTGTTCAAATATAATATTTTAAAAAATAATACAATGAAAATATAGTACGTCAAAAGGCATTTCTTCAGTTTGTCAGTTCAGGGTTTTCATTTAAGGTACTGTGCCTTTTATATGAAGCAATCCTGCAGTGGCCAGCAGTAAATTTTATTTATATCTAACTGTCTCTTACAGGGTTGGTTTGGTTGAGTCAAAAATCCGCATCTTGGTTGGGAATCTGGAGAAGAACGAATTCATCACGCTCGCTCACGTGAATCCCCAGTCTTTTCCAGGCCCCAAGGAAGGCAGTGAGAAGTACGTTTCATGATCATGTAATAACTCCTCAACGCACTGAAATTCTGTTCTGAGATATCAGAATGGTTTTGAATACAATGCCAAGCACCAGCATAGAAAGGTTCTCATCTGCATTGTAGAGATTTCCTTCCTTTTTGCATAGCAGCCGTGTATTGTGAGACTGGAAATGTCTGGTATGTTGGCATGTGTTGAGCATCTGATGGGCTTTGACCACTGTGTGTTCTTGTTTGCATTAGGGAAGAGTTCAGCACAATGTGGGTCATAGGGATTGCGTTCAAGAAAATGGAAGGTGCTGAAAACCTCAATGTTGACCTGACATATGACATTCAATCATTCACTGACACAGGTAAGAGGAGTTGTTAATATAATTATTAATATTGTTTTATTTGAAGCCAGACTATTGAAAGTGCTACTTACAAACACTAACAGCATCATGGAAACCGTGCCAGAGCCTGTATGTGTGCAGTTGTAGCCTGCACATCAGTGTCTTACCAGGGTACTCACACAGCCAGTGAGACGCAGTAATTTTACCCGATTCTTTAGTCCGTGTGCATGCGGATGTCACTGGATGTCACTGTTCATATACATGTAAGTGTTCTGACTGGCAACAAGTAGTTCTGTTTTCCTTTTCTTTCCAATTCTAGTTTACAGGCAAGCAATAAGTAGTAAAATGTTTGAGCCCGATATGAAAATCACAGCAATGCATGTAAAGAGGAAACAGCTGCACCAGCTTTTGCCGAACTTAGTAATACAAAAAAGAAGAAAGGTAAGAGATTTAAATTAACTTTAAATTAATTCATAACCTAACAAACATCATGCATTTTTTATATTTTTGAAAGCAGTCACTAAATATGTAGTATTGGATTGCGTGAGCTAATTGGCCCGAAGCAAATTTATGTTTAAAAAATCAAGAGTTTATGTACAGTATAGTTGCTCTACATAAAAATGATTATTGACTTTGTGTAGAGAGGGGGTCCTCCACCTATACATTTGAACGTGTAAAACAGAAATCTTCAGTTATGTCGGTTACTAATGTTCAAAATGATGCATTTATTGTTTTGAGTGAGTTAGTATTGCACTAGAGTATGAACTTCATAGCATTATTTAAAGAACATTTGTAAACCTTCTTGGACAGTGTTTGTTTTCTGATTCATAGGTAACACTGACATTAGGGTACTGTAGTACTACTAAAACACATGTACTACTAAAACACATGAAGACAGCCAGTTGGCTAATTTGGCCTTATTGTTGAATTAGAACTTGCTGATGTGGTTTGTACGGAGGAGGAGAATAAAAGTGCTAATCAGACAAGAAGTGATTTGATTCATTTTTGTTCCTGCCAGGAAGTGCAACAGAATCACTGTACATTTTCTTTGTAATTGTGATTGTGTAATTTGTAATTTCTTTGTAATGCCCTGTCTTGCAGCACTCCACTGAGGGTGTAAAGCCAGTGAACGAGAGCAGCCTGGACCTGTCTCTGGACAGCGACAACAGCATGTCTGTGCCTTCGCCCACCACTGCGGTCAGGGGCTCCCAGCCCCGCTCTGCCAGCCCCCAGGGGTAACGCCCTCCTTCAGCTGCACCCAGGGTTGCTTGTTCAAACACTTCAGCATTTTGGGGGATCACAGGTTCACAGATTCATTCCCCCTGAAGCAATTCTGAGTTCATCTAAATAACTAGACCCAGGAAATGGCTATGTACTGTATTGTAAATAAGAACAGAAGAAAACCGCACACGGGGAAAGTTTTTACAAAATTATTTTACAAAGTGTGTATGTTGCGTCATGCTAAAAGTATTTTAGCTTTATGTGATACTAAACTGACAACATTTTCACCATGTTATCATGATATTTTACTAATATATGTTCATACTTGCTTCTCACTGGTACATTTTTAACATTGTTGACCAATAGCAGATGTGTCTCTAATGTTTCTGATGAATTTTCTGCAATTCTCCTCCTCCCTGCGAAGGCTCAGTCCTGCAGCCCCCGTGGCCAACAGCCAGGCTTCAGAAGGCCCGTGCAGAGGCGAGGGGGCAGGAAGTTCGGTCAGCCCAGGTCTGTACCGCCCGCGCGTCTGCTCAGTCGTTGTGAGAGCCGGGAAGGCTTCCCAAGGCTGACGAGTGCCATGTCCCCCTCAGGAGTCCCAAGCGACGGCACGCCGCCAAAGCCTGTGGCTGTAGCCCCACCGCCGAAGCCAGCCGCAGCTCGTGGGGTGTCCTCCACGCCCGTGATCAAGCGCCCCCTTCTGGCTGCAGGCGGCTCTGCAGCGAAGCCTGCCGCTAAGAGGACAGGGTCCCCCATCCAGGAGGAGACCCCGAAAAAACCAAGAGCAGAGGAGGTAGGACCCAGCAGGGCAGATATAAGATTCAGCACTCTACCGCTGCACCATCAGGCAAAAACCGAATCAAAATGTGTTCTTTCAAAAAATAATCTCAAGGGAATATGTGATCGATTAAAATCGTTTGTAAAAATATAATTTTTTTGCAAATAATTTTTATATTTGTAACATGAAAGGTGAAATTGTACCCAAAGCTGTTCAGAAAAATGTTATCAGTCCTTTATTTTTTTTAAATCTTGCATTTAATTGTAATTATTATTTTTTTAAACAGGACCCATCAGAAAGTCGCGTGTCAGGAGATAATACAGCTCAGCCTGATGTCAAGCCATCTGTAGAGATGGAGGTAAATAATACCTGCTGATGTCTATTCAGAAGCACTTACCTCAGGTTAACTTAATTAACTTAATTCAAGTCTGTAAATATCCTTATTTTAAAGAGCAAGACAGGTTTTTCATTTGACAGTCATTTGCCAAAAAACAACCAGTATCACATTTTTTTGTGATTTGATGGAATTACTGTTGTAATTTTCCATGCCAATGTCTGTACCCACAGGTTGGTGAAGAGGTGAGCTCTGTCAACGCATCTCCAGGAGAAGCCAAGAGCGAGGGAGCCGTGAAGGTCTGAGCTAACCTTCCTCCATCCCTGATCTCAGCAGTAGACCATATTTTATACCGCAGTGGGAAAGCTAAGCTCATTAAGGCTGTGTTTGAGTATTACAAGGAAAATACTTTAGGATCCTTTGGAATGAAATGCACTACATAATAATGAAGAAAGTGTAGTGTTCTATATAATATTCATAGAAATATTAAAGGGTTTTTGAAGCAGTTTTGGCCCTGGGCCCTTTGACATTGCCACTGCGGTGTGCAGAGGGAGGAGTGGGAGCCAGGTGTTCGGCCAGGTGCTCCTTGCCATGTGTATAAGATGCTGAAAGCTCCAGGTCCAGGTTGTGTTAGGAACTTGCTACATGAGTGCAATCTGGGCTCGTAATGTTACAGCCATCCCTGCCCTTCCTAGGCTCTACCAGGCCACAGTAGGGCCCTCTCGAGTACAGCGCCATGTCCGCAGGAGAACATAAGAAAGGTTACAGACGAGAGGACACTCTTCCTGCCTTCTAGCTTGTTTGGTTGTAGTTAAGTGACCCAAGGATCATACAGCTGCAGCTTATTCCACACTCCCTACAGAGAAGTGCCTACTGTTCTTACAGGATAGTTTCCACAGATACCCTCTGGTGTGTCTTTCACTGCTTATTCTGCATTCCACTGGGTAGACAGCGACAATAGATTTGGACGGTCTGTAAAGCAAACATAAGGGGGTCAGCTAAGTTAATAATAATAATATGCTTTTTCTTTTTTTGGGTTAAATAAGAAATTAAGAAGTTCTGATGAGAGAGCTCCCATTATAAAGTTGCGGCCTCAGCCAGAAGCCTGAATGTGCAGTGTGTTTTCTGTTACAGTGAGAATGATGTGATATCTTAAGTTGACAACTGTTCTATAATACTTAAAAACTCTTTTAATGTATATGTTTCAAATAATGTACAATTTCTCGTTCATGTTTTCTCTCATTGTTAAGGAGCTGGATTCAGAACAGAAGTTCACTCCACCTGTTCCTGTCACACAGGTATGAATTTTATCAAAAAGATGTCAAAGAAGTAAAATAGGAAAGTGTATCATTTGATTTCGAACACCTGTAAAGTTTTCCTTTCTAAAATTTCTTTATTTTGTCCTGATGGTCATGCATCACTTTGTGCTAGAAGAATAATAAGATTTGTAGATTAATTTTGTTTATGTGTACAGTAAGCAAAATCAAACTACATTTAAGATATGTAGTTGTATGTATAGGTGTTATTCATGTTTTACCCATTTCAAGTATGTTAGTAATAAGCAGATCATTTGTTAAAATAAATATGCATGATATTAAAATATATGTGCAAATATGTTTCCCTTGAAACGTTTATAGAGTTTCTCTAAATTTGCAGAAAACACTCCAAGTAATCCTATCTTTTTAAATTCTGATGGCATTAATCATTTTGCTTGACCTTTATCTTGAATATTAACTTTTAAAAAAAACTGCCTTTAATTGGAAATTCGGAACTGACAGTTTATATTGCTCACCTTGACTGTGGCATCCCTCTGACTCACACGGGGAAAGCGAAGAGGGGAGTCCTGTGTTCGGAACATGCACCTGGCCAGAGATTTACTGACGTAAACAGAGCTCAGGGGCGTGAGGTCGCTGTTGTGTGACAAGCCGAGGCTGCCCTGGCTGACTCTAGCCACCCAACCACAGCAGCACCCCGCCTTGTGAATCCCACTCCGAACGCCAGTGACAGCCCAGGCCCAGAGAAGTGATGGCTGCAGGCTGCAGAGCTCACCCTGCACTTTGGACAAGTGCCTTACTCACTGAGGCCTTTTAGAGCCCCTGTTTCTGGTGACATGTTTGATTCTGGAAGGGATTTATAAACATACATTTATTTAGAATCTTAACTATAGTATAACCCTACAGAGCCAGAATGGATAATAGTAGCTGCCCATTGACTGTGGTGTTGGTCACAATTGTCTGAAAAGAACAGGTGTTACCAAAATACACCAAGCAGTAAATGCATGTATAGCTAAGAGAACATTTCTGGAGATGGTCCTTGCTACAGGGGACCCATTTCGTTTGTACTTGTATTTTATTTTTTCAGAGAATTCCCAGCACAGACCTGTCCGATGTTCCACTTCTTCCTGCCAATCCCATTCCAGTTGTGAAGAACTCAATAAAACTGAGGCTAAGTAGGTAGGAGAAGCCCAGAATTCCTGGAGAGCCGTGGAGCTAAGACTCACACAGAAGGACTGAAAGGTTGCAAAACGTATCAGAGGCCAGAGCAGTAGCTGCACCTGTAAGGGACCCCTGGTGCTGATTCTGGCCTGTCTCCCTGGGGGAGTTAGCTATTGTTTTCTGGGAGCACGTCATGGCATTATTCCCCAGAGTAGTAAATGACAGGAATTAATGGTGAGCAAATGAAATGTCATATCTTCACACTGTTCACGTGACTGCTAAGATGTATGTGTGCGTGTGTGCATTTTTCGTTTTGTTTTCCATTGTTTATATAAAAACAGGAAAAGTCCATCAGAGGCACAGAGTTAGGTATTTTTTTAAGTACTGAGCTTTATTTTAACTAAGAACAAGGCTGGGCCTGTTTTATGCTGTCAGCAGTCACCACCAGAATCCAACACTGCCCAGTGACTACACTTAGTAGTAAAGACCACTAAATAAAAAAATTAAATTTACAAGGTACCCTCTTGTCAATAATTCTGTGCCTTTGTGTAGATTTTGGATGGATTTGATAAAAAATACAAATATACCAAGTTACAATAATGAATACAGTCTTCAAAATTAAGTATGGCTAATTGAAGTAGCTCAGGTTGGAGAAAATAACTACCAAAAACTCATTCTCAATGATATGTTGCATTTTATTAATATATTGTGTTTTCTTAGCTTAAACTATGCCTTTTTTTTTCCTGATGGTGGCTAGAGAAGAATTATTCAGGCACATTTCAGTCATTTTTGAGGAATTCCCGGCAGTTTTCTTTTTTCGTATTTGTTCAGTGACTGACATGAACAAGGATTTTGAACAAATAAGTGCAGGTAATCTGTGCAAGACTGTTCATTTGCATTGTACCTCGTGTGTCTGTATTGTACAAAAAAATAAAATTTCTTTTGGAGAGTTATTGCTTTGTATTTTGAATTTGATAAAAAATGCGATTTGGATGTAAAACCATATTAACCATATTTTAGTGCACAGCTGTAACAGTAATAATCTCTGCTGACAGTTTTCTGTTGGCAAAAAAAGTTGTAACATCCAGTTTCATTTATTACATTTGAGTTGAGATTTGTTAATTTAACAAAAAGCATTGCTCTCCTTGTCATATTTGTTAGTGTTAAAATTTTGAAAAGCTAGACAGTACTAGCGCTGTAATTGGGACCACTGTCACGTGCAGAAAGATGATTTTCACTATCTTACCTCGATCTACATCATTTCCCGCCACGTTTCTCAAGCTTATTTGTAAGAATTGTACTTTCAACTTAAATAAAGTTCTTACAAAGCCTACAAAGACCCACTCTTATTCTCAGTGACACTACTTAAGCAAGCATATAAATACTCCACATGGGAATACTTCATCCATGCAGTTTTGGAACATTTATTGTGCTATATGTTACATAAAATGTAACATTGAAATATGATTCTGACCTTTATTAGATTGCCTATTGCTTATTTTTCCTACTTCCTCTCCCAACATAAGTAAAAAAAATATTTGATTAATACGTTTGCTGTTTTGTACCAAGAAGTATTAAGCACTGTTTTTTTGTTATATTTACAGACAATAAGTAAAGCATTTGGTGCTGAATACATCCACCCAGTGGTGGATATCAAGTACACACTCTGCAGAATTCATGACATCCCTTTACAATTTCAAAAACAGTCGTAAGTGATGACTGAAAATTTTAAAACATTTGTATGCATCGGAAATTGTATTCTAGGAGACAAAAGTAGCGTTATCTGTACTCGCAAATGGCAAACAGTAATAACAATAATAAGACATGAACTGAACACAATAACTGAACATGAGTTACGATGAACTTTTTCTTGTGATGTTTTTTACGGATTCTAACAGTTCTTTCTTTGACGTACAATAATACGTGTGTACAAAAGTCCCTTCCATCAGGATGAAACAGCGAGACCTTCAAGAATAGATTCTGATCCAGATGTTAAACTAGAATGGGGGCTGGCGCCCTGCAACACACTTGCCATTGTCGACACTCAGGGGTTTATAGCGACGTTCAATGAAAGTAGCAAATAAGCCAGGAAGAAATGAAATTTAAAAAAGCTATAAAAACTATGCTTGACTGGTCTGTAATTCTCAACAAGGGTCAGCAGACTTTCAGAAGGGGTTTGCCAAGACTAGGCTCATGCAAAACATGCAGTTTTTTATTGACCTGATTTAGAATTATACCTTAAGGTACTATATCTTCTAATCATAATAGACATTCTAATGAATGAATCATATTCTAATGATTCAATCAACAAATTAAGGAATGCACAGAGGAGCTTGTATATACCATTATTTTTATAATGAAATGATTTCTAGGTCCTAAAATGTATACCTGCTGCTTTTATTTGTATTACTGATAGCACAAAGTCAAAGGATGACATATACACCCATTTAGATTGGAATCTTCTGCTCAAATAACATCACCTGCTGTTCTATTGCATGTGAATACATTTGAAGGAAATTTAAAGAATGGAAATTAATGTATTAAATCACACTGAACCTCTTCTTGCATAGATCAACGATCTGCGATACAAAATAGTCCTAAACATGCTTATTGAATATTAAGGGAAGCCAGTCATTTGTTTTTTCTTCAGGAATCGCTTAAGGTTGTCTCCATCCTAGGTGCCACTAGGTGGCAGACTTATATCATCTTTGATTGCAGGATTTATGATGAGATTAGAAACGTTCAATAGGATTAGGTTTTACCTACTAGCAGATTCTAATCACACTTTCAACAGATATTACATCTGTACTACGATAATCTTAAGTTCTGAACTAATTCTAAAACATGTATGAGCTATCTTTACCAACGAGTAACAGTCATAAATAATACAGCACCTTCAATCCAATGTACAGAATGTGGTCTGGTCTGGTTAAAACCAGTTAAACCACACAGTTATACCTGATACATATTCCTCATCCACATCATAATCCAGGTGCTTATAATGACGGGGACTTTGAGAAGCGCACTCATATTAAAGAAAGAAAGTGTGTTGTGTTGCTTAGGAACAGTTTGCCTTCCTTCTCTGCAGGGAGTATCCCAGTGAGTGTCATTATGCCCCATCATTCAGGGAAGGCACAACATATTTCTGCCTTTCCTGACAATATTTATTGCTTGTTGAATTTATCCTTTGGAGCTATATAAAGAAAATGTTTTCCATGATTAAAGAACATTCAAGTCTGAACCTTAGAATAGTCAGGAAGAAAAGATTAAACAATTTTTGGAGACCATCAAGGATAGCTGTAAGGATACAAGGCAAAAATGCTTTACAAACTAAATTAATAAGATTTTTTTTTATTTTTTTAAAAGGAGGCTATTAAAATCTTTAAACCAATGCTGAATTTATTCTGTTTAAACGCAAAGGTCATATTTTGTCAAATCAAGTTTCATATCTGTGAACTTAAAATTATTAACGTAATACAGTGCAAGTCCCTGTGTATTGAGGTACAGTGATGGATTATATGCATATTTATATCTTATATGTTTTTTTTTCCTAAGTAGTTTCATTTTGCTGTTATGAAGAATCATTCCAAAACCCAAAGCGAGATCTTAGTATGGAAGGGCCCCAGATCATGAATCACGTTAAGTGTGTTGTTCCAAAGGAGAAAGCAGACTGAGCACTGTGACTAACAGAATGGTCCCCACAGAGTCGGCACCTCAGGACTGATCATCCATCGGATCATTCTGACAAGGGGAAAGAGAGACACCAGCCATACGTACAGCAGGGATTTTGGACAGCTGCAGGAAAATCACAAAAAGCGGGAGAATCTTCATGATTGTCCTTCGGGGTAGTAGTGCCCCTGCAGTCTTATTTATCCTCTCACTGAGAGAAAGATGAGAGTCCTTGGACACTCAGTGTTCTTTGTAGTGTGTTTTCAGTGCACATTTATAATAGACAAATTAAGGGTGTTTTTTTAACATCTCAATGACATTCTCATCATACAAAACTTTCACTTGTATGTATAGTCAACTAAATGTATACGTTGTACATATAGTAAAACATATGCTATTCTGCTATTATAACCCTTGAGCCTACTTACTGTACAGATTTTTTTCCCAGAAATGTATCAAAACATAAATTGTATTTATTCCGTGTTCCTTTTTCCCTTGAGACCACTGCTTTACTGAGCACATGGCTTTTACCAGCGAAAGCAGTGATAATGCTGGAGATGGAGCCCTTTGCTGAAACATCAGGTACAGGACAAGTTAGCACAGTGGCTGGTGCCCCATGCTGGTTTCTCAATCTGCCTCAGCTCTGCTGCTGATGATGAGAGAAGATGCTGCCTCTGTAGGATTTTCCTGTTTAAACTAAATTCAAATTGCAGCGTTAGAGGACTGTCCTTGTTAAATATGGACAGGTTCTCTTATGTGTATCCTGACACGCAGCACTGATACTTTTACCAATATTTAAGAGGCCATCAGAAAATGTGATAGATTGTTTTACAGGCACTGTTTGATAAAAAAAAAACGTACTACCTTGTAGCCCAGATTTGCAGTATAAATAAAAGCTCAGTTGAATTAAAGAATACTTAGGCAGGGGATTCTGAGTGTCTTCTCTGGTGCTAATTGTGATGGGGTTGTTGTAAGACTGTGGCCACACTGGCAGTGTCCAGGGAATCACACCATCCTGGAGGAACAGTGACTCACTGGGCCTCCTCACCGCCTCCTTCAAGAATCACACAAGTAGTGAATATTAAAAAACACTTTCATTAAACAACAAGAAAAACTTTGTGCGGTTTCTATTTTTAGTAACCATTAAACTATTTATTTAGCTGCTATTAAGATGAGAAGAAGTTAATATTTTCCTGAACCACAAATGTATTGCACACCCTTAACAAAGTTTGCTTAAACAGTATATTAAGGCCTTCTTGCATATTAAAATATTCTGCTACTGGAGAATTGTCCTGATGTTTCAGGATTTACCATCTAGAATCAGTCGTTCGAAATGAGTTATTTATAGAAATGATGTCCCTGAATACCAATACAGCATAGAAGAAGATTAAGAGCCCTGAATATCCTGAGAACCTCTGGAGCCAAGTGTTAATTTACTGCATTCCCCTTTCAGCTCTGCACACACTCCTAACGCAGCCTAACAGAGTAAGTGATAATCACTGTGGGGTCTCTGTTGTGGCTAATTAATACAATAACGGTAACACTTAAAGGCCAGTGCATGGCTAGGAAACTCAAGAGTGTTCACTACGTTGTGAATTTAATCAACGGTTGAGGCTGCCTGTTTAGAATGGAAACCTGCTAGCTATGCTTTTCCCCTTTTTTAATCACAGTATACATTTACAGCCATGCAAATGCACTGCATCTCAGTTCACTACTCAGATTTTTATACTGTGCTGCTGCTTTGGTTTACCTAAAGTTTAACCCACTAACAATTAGGAATAAGAATCGTTCAAATTCAGGTCCAATGCCAGTGCAATGCACCAGCCTTACACAAAGTACAAGCAAAGTTTATCAAGGGGTAACAGACCCCCTTGAACAGTGCAGAAAACACATCTCACAAAACGTTCTGGCTTTCTCCTCTAGGGCACTAATTAGAATCAAACCTCCAATTGGTAATATATTGTCTTTAGATCAGAGCAGTGTGCTGGACTGTCATGTCTTGTGAAATAAAAAAAAATATGTAAGCATAAAAGTAACCACTTTAGAACTAATGAAAAAAAACAGGCTACACCGTAGACTCAGTCATCAATAGAGATGTGGTAAGCATTGTCTTTCCAGACAGCATTGAGTGAAATAGGGAACAATGCTCTTCACTGTAATTCAAGTTTCTAAAGGCTTCAATATTGCTTTACAGAAATGCTGAAAGTCTAGTTGAAAATACTGCCAGGATATATTGCAGAAAACAGGAGGATACATTCAATTATTTTGTTGTTTTTACAGGGAA